CTTCCAACAGCAGCCTAGTGTTCCCGTGTGGTCTCCCATCCAGACACTGACCAGCCTCAGCCCTGCTTAGCTTCAGTGAGGGAGCGCTCTTGGGTTGCTGGTTAATATGGCTGTGAATAGAAGATAGACACTCAAACTGATAGGGAAGCAGTAAATGATGACAGAATGTTAATTTTTCGGTGAACTGACCCTTTCAGATCCTTAAGTTGACCCTTAGGTTTTTTCATGCGACCAAACTTTCACTGAGGCTTATGTAACCCTAACGCTTCTGTAAGCACACATAAGGGCTTTTGTGCAGCCGGACCCTGTGTGTTTTCCAGCAGCAGATGTAATCAGCTTTTACTGGGTTTGACTTGACCAGTTCTCTCATTATTTTCCCTCTTTCTGTTTGTCTTTATAAAGTCTCAGTTTAACATGTTCCACCCTGTTTTCCAGCAAATCACTGCAGTAAGCTCTTCATTAGAGGCGTATGAGCTGCTGTTTATATTGTGTTCAACACCAACAAAGACGCGTCTGCTGGTTTACTCGGGCCGCTTTCTTCCTCAGTGCAAAGGAAAACTCCAGTTGTTACCAAGATGAATGGAAATTGCATTAAAATCTGCTTTGATTTTTGACTTGAGGACACTGTAAAAGCTTTATTAAACTTGAGACAGCTGATCTGTTTTCCATGCGTGTGAATTAAACTATAAAAGCACACAATAGGCGTGCTGACATCACATTAACTGACATGAAAAAACCTCGGCAGTACTTTTTTGTTTGTCACTCTTGTTTTAGCATGGAATTGTGGGGCGGCACGGTGGCTCAGTGGCTAGTGCTGTCGTCTCACTGCAAGAAGGTTGCTGGCTGGGTCAGTTGGTGTTTCTGAGTTTGCATGTTCTCCCCGTGTTGGTGTGGGTTTCCTCTGGGTGCTCCGGTTTCCCCCACAGTCCAAACACATGCGCTATAGGGGAACTGATCAACTACACTGGCCGTAGTGTATGAGTGTGTGTGTGTGAATGAGTGTGTATGGGTGTTTCCCAGTACTGGGTTGCAGCTAGAAGAGCATCTGCTGTGTGAAACATATGCTGGAATAGTTGGCGGTTCATTCCGCTGTGGCGACCCATGATAAATAAGCTAAAGGAAAATGAGTGGATGAATATGTTGCTCTCGGATATTGGATTATCGGCTCCTTCACAGGTTTATTCTTTGAAAACAGTCTGTGTGTGTGTGTGTGTGTGTGTGTGTTTTTTTGCGAATGTCAGCTCGCACATGCAGATCGTTTGAAAATGGACAAATATTTTGGGAGTAATATACGAATGGAGCAGGCATGCAGATACACACACTCGTCCATTGTCTTGTCTAGCGAGTGTGTATGTGTGAGAGACAGACAGTTGGTCCTTTGTCCCCTAGATAAAGCGTAATGCCCAGAGGAGGTGTGTGTGCGTGTGTGCACGTGAGTGTGTGTGTGTGTGAGCAGGGAGTGGCAGAGCTGATGTCAGGCCGGATGATGTTACACTGCATTGGGGTTACTGAGTGTTTTAAGGGTCTGTGTGTCCCGTGGGGTGTGTGTGTGTGTGTGTGTGTGTGTGTGTGTGTGTGTGTGTGTGACAGCTGGAGGAGAGGCTGAGGAAAGTGCAGCTTGTCTTGCATCAGCCTCATGAATTTGCTTTTAAACAGACATATAATCAGATTTTAGCCCTCGGCACTTCCCCAGCAGACATGAGAGGTGTTATTACTGTTAAAGTGACCCTTTTGGGTTATTTTAAAGGTTTGAATAGGTTAAAAATAGGTCATTTGTAAAGAGTTGAGCCCTCACTGATCTCGCCTTTATATTATTTGTGCTACAGGATGCTTTACAGTAATATATCTGTGCAGATACAGAAGATCAACGGTTCAAATCGAGCAACAACACTGAAGATCACAGCACAACTATTATTAGCACACTTAATGATTAATTAGCACACAATATTTATGACAGTGATTTTATTCCATACTATAGCGCATGTGTTTGGACTGTGGAGGAAACCGGACACCTGGAGGAAACCCACACCAACACGGGGAGAACATGAGATTACTTATATTATTGGGGTGTGAGTTTTTGTCATATCACCCAGCTCTACTTTGTTCTGACTGGTCACATGGCCTTACTCTTATCTGATTGGCCAGATGGCTCTACACTTAAACAATTGACTTTACTCTGATTGGTCTGATGACTCTACTCTGCTCTTATTGGTCAGATGACTATTCTGCTCTGATTGGTCAGATGACTATTCCGCTCTCATTGGTCAGATGTTATTTTCTTTGATTGGTCATATGACTACTCTGATTGGTCATGACTGTAATTTACTCTGATTGGTCAGATGACTGTAATTTACTCTGATTGGTCAGATGACTCTACTCTGATTGGTCAGATGACTCTAATCTACTCTGATTGGTCAGATGACTCTACTCTGATTGGTCAGATGACTCTAATCTACTCTGATTGGTCAGATGACTCTACTCTGATTGGTCAGATGACTCTACTCTGATTGGTCAGATGACTCTAATCTACTCTGATTGGTCAGATGACTCTAATCTACTCTGATTGGTCAGATGACTACTCTGATTGGTCAGATGACTGTAATTTACTCTGATTGGTCAGATGACTCTACTCTGATTGGTCAGATGACTCTAATCTACTCTGATTGGTCAGATGACTCTACTCTGATTGCTCAGATGACTGTAATTTACTCTGATTGGTCAGATGACACTAATCTACTCTGATTGGTCAGATGACTCTACTCTGATTGGTCAGATGACTACTCTGATTGGTCAGATGACTCTAATCTACTCTGATTGGTCAGATGACTCTACTCTGATTGGTCAGATGACTCTAATCTACTCTGATTGGTCAGATGACTCTACTCTGATTGGTCAGATGACTCTAATCTACTCTGATTGGTCAGATGACTCTAATCTACTCTGATTGGTCAGATGACTCTACTCTGATTGGTCAGATGACTCTAATCTACTCTGATTGGTCAGATGACTGTAATTTACTCTGATTGGTCAGATGACTCTACTCTGATTGGTCAGATGACTCTAATCTACTCCAATTTATCAGATTGGTCAGATGACTACTTTGATTGGTCAGATGACTCTAATCTACTCTAAATGGTCAGAAGACTGCTCTGACTGGTCAGATGACTCTACTTTGATTGGTCAGATGACTCTAATCTACTCCAATTTATCAGATTGGTCAGATGACTACTTTGATTGGTCAGATGACTCTAATCTACTCTAAATGGTCAGAAGACTGCTCTGACTGGTCAGATGACTCTACTTTGATTGGTCAGATGACTCTAATCTAATCTGATTGGTCAGATGACTCTGCTCTGCTTTTATTGGTAAGATCCCTCTGCCCTGAATGGTCAAATAATCCTTCTGATTGGTCAGATGTTCTTCTCCTTGATTGGTCGAGTGGCACAGACAGTCATGAGCACTTGTAAGCACAGTGAAATGGACAGTAACAATGGTGTTTCACTGTGTTCATTCAGTTTAACAAGTCCTCGTGTCTGAGAAGTCTTGCAGGGTGAATTTGCTTTTCCATCTGAACGCCAAAGTAGACATAGTTCACCATCAGCCGATGAATAAATGTAGATGGACATTATACACATTTATAACAAGCCAATGTAGAAGCAGGACTGGATTATTGAGCACGTGTCTCTCATTAGAGCCAGTTATATTTACCAGCACATTAAAACATTTGCACACATAAACGGCTATACACACTACATGAAAAATATATCCAGAAACATTATAGATGTGTGTGTTTTACTCTTTTATTAGGCCCAACAGTTGGAAAAATTGCCCCGGTGGTGGCAGGAGTCCAAAAGTGTAACACCGGGAGGGATGTTTTAAAGGGGCAGTTCACCCAAACATTCAATTTACTCACTATTAACTCTCACTCAAGGGATTAAAAAGTGTCCTTATTCTGTTGAAGAAGATATTCAGTTGATAGCTGAAAACCATTAGTAGTAAAAACAAATACTATGAAAGTCAATGGTTACAATAATTCAACCTTCTTCAAAATATCTACTCATAAATGTTTGAAACAGCTGACTGGTGAGTAAATAATGACGGAATCTTCCGTTTTGGGTGAGCTGTCCCTTTAAATCTAATGTGGCGGTCTACTCAGACGGATGGTCTTCTGGACGAGCTCTGACAGATGAGTGTCTGCTTTCTTTGTTAGCTGTAATTAGAGTTTATTTAAGAGTGACTGAATCCTACAGCCTGCTTTTCCTTTCATGGTTTGGCCTTCAGCCATCGTCTCTCAGATTTAAGAGCTGAAGGATCCTGCCAGAGTGGAAAATATCTGTGCCACCTCTCCATAACTGCAGAAACAACACAAGACGGAGAGCACAGGCTGTTTCAGCCATGGATAGCTTCAGTTCAGCTGAATTATCCTTGAAGTAATTCAGCATGTATTGTTGTTTGGTAGTTGTGTGTGTGTTTCTCCAGCAGTGGTCTCTAATGCTGATCATGAGTTAATTGTGTTTGTTCTTGATGCAGAAACACTTTAATTGACATTCTCCCTTTCTACGTGTAATCAGAGGGGGAAAACCCCGCCCACTAGTGCCCATCTCTCCATCTCATTAGCATAAACAGCAGCCCTGAGTGAGAAGCAGCCGTCTGTCCATTAGCCATTAGAGTGTTTGAGCTGCTGATGATCATGTCAGCATAGACTAAGAGGATTATAGATGTGGAGTTCTAGATGAACAGCGACAGGAGTCTACATAGACTGACTCACACTGAAGCACACATGCACAGCACTGACAACACACACACTGCTGTTTCACATCTGTCTGTAGCTCCGCCCACTTTTTTTAAAGAGCATCTCATTTGCATTTAAAGCAACAGTCACCAAAATGCTACAATTAGGATCAAAGCCTGAAAGAGTCATCATTATCTGTGTGCTGTTTATACACACACACATCATCAGAGACTCCAATATTGATGTCTTCTCTCTGTTTTTCCTGCAGTTGATGGGCTCTCTGGTTCTGGCGGTGGGTCTCTGGCTCCGACTGGATCCAAACACAGTGTCTCTTTTAGGAGAAGACGGACCTGATACCTTCTTCATCGGTGAGCAGTTAGCTGATTATATTTCATGACCGAATTTCCATAGTCATACAGAAAAGGTTCAGTTTTGCATTATTACAGAAGGCAGAGTCTTGGATAACTCTTTATTTTGATGCTCTATTTGAGTGTTAGTAGACGGTCTGCTTAATATCTGCTCGTTCCTTTCACTGACTATAAGAACTGACAGCCGTATCAGCCTGCAGCCCAAGACTGGATACTCACTGAAGCTAAGCCGGACTGACCATGGGATGGGAGACCTTTTCAGGAGGTACACATTTGTACCTAAAAGGTCCATATTATTACCTCAAAAGTAGGTATTTGAACCTATAAAGTCCAAAAGTGTTCCTCTTAAAATGTTTAGGTACTAATTTATATGTTTGAGGTAGCAATGTGGACCCTTTACGTATAAATGTGTACCTTTTAATAAGGTACCACCCCAGTGACAGCTCACGTTCCTTTATTTCTGAGAGTGTATTGTATGCTTTCAGTTTAGTTTCAAAATAGCATTTTATTTACTGTTTTGACAGCTTTGGTCTTATTTAATACTGCTCTTATTGCAGTTAAACAATGACTCAAATGAGTTTCAAAGGAGTAATAAGTTATAAGAAGTTATATTTTCTATTTTATCTAATTTATTTGTAATATTTGATTAATTATATACTGTATATAAGCAAAATCACATGAGCAGCAGTGCGTTGTAGCTGTATATCGCCACTGGTGGGAGGTGTGTGTTGGCTCGAAGTCACAAGCTGAGTGCCTTAGTGCCCCACTAGTGCTGATACACCACCATATGGCGCTGCTACTCGTGTGATATTGCATTTATACAACAGTTTGACAGCATAATCGTGTGTATAAAAAATAAAATCAAACATCAAGAGTCTCAAAACCCTTTTGAATGAGGAACTACTTTCTTTCGCCAGGCATTCACATCTGCAGCTGACGTCAGAACAGCAGAAGCCATTACTCATTCACCAACATCACTGTAGAGCTAGTGTTCGAGTGATTCTCTAGCGTAATGTCTAAAGTGAAGACAGAACAGCTGATTTTGCTCACAGTTTAAGGCTGAACAGCATGAAATGCCATCAGTCTACAGAGATTTCCCAGTGTTTCTCTGCTGCAGTCGGGAGATCACAATAATTAACCCTGAAAAAGCCAAAGCAAAGCAAACACTACAGATTACTGTGGTATAAATACAGCACTACAACATACACAAGAGAGAGATCGACTTAGAGTGTCTCTTTCCTGTTGAATAATGATTTGATCAGCTGTAGTTTGAAATTACGCAGTTTTTCTTCCATAAGGGCTTATTGTGCGGTCTCTGTCGCCATCTTGTGGCGGAGCGTCAACCGTCTTTGCTCTGCTCAGTATGACAGGCTGATGGCCATCGATGTGCTGTCTCTCAGAAATTATGAATATTTAAAATAGGCACTGTCCTTATAAATAAACTGCATAGCTGCAATCTAAACTACGACATTCTCACCTAAAAAGTACATTAAGTTGTCCAACAGCTGCAATATTTGTCAAACTGAGCAGTTTACATGGGCAGCGGTTTCTGCTCTTCTGACATCAGCTGCAGATGTAAATGAACGGTGGAAGAAAGTAGTTCCGCGTACAAAAGGATTTTTGAGACTCTTGATATTTGATTTTCTTTTTTACACACACGATTATGCCGTTAAACTGTTGTATAAACACAATATCACACTCATAGCAGTGCTATATGGCTGTATATCAGCACTGTTGGGGCACTAAGACCCTCAGCCTGCTGCCTCGTGCCAAAGCACGCCTCTCACCAGTGCCGATATACAGCCATATCGCACTGCTACGAGTGTGATATTGCTCATATAGCAAACTGATACTCTTATGATTATAAGATTAATATATTTAAACATGATATATATATGGAATCAAAGTCGGCGTTATTAGCCCTCCTGTTAAATTTTAATTATTTTATATTTTTTCCACAATTTCTGTTTCCCCAATTCTGTAAAACAAATAAGACTTTCTCTCGAAATATGATAGGAAATACTGTGAAAAACTCAGTTTAATATCACTCGGTAAATATTTGAAAAAATTCACAGGAAGGCGAATAGTTTTGACCTCATCTCTATATGCAAAATGAAAGATATCCAATGAAAGGGTTTTATCTCGCTGTGGACCCAGCTTAGCTCTTAAAGCAGAAATAAATGAAGGAGCGGCAGACACAGAGCAGTGTTTATTAGTGCTGGATGGAAACATGAGGCGGCAGAGTTTCCATGCACAGTCACTTGGGTGGGTGTTTCTCAAAACAGGAAGTGACATTTCAGATCATGCCTACATACAGGAAACCACAATCCTGCAGCCACTCTACCTGCTAACCAGAGGCTGACCCTGTGGATATTTCTGTGCATACAGTTAAACTCTGAGTTATTACACCTATAACAGTGGTTTGTTCTGGAGACAATCCAACACTAATTTTGCTAATAATATTGACCTTAAAATGCCTGTAAAACTAATAAAAACTGCTTTTATTCTAGTCCAAATAAAACAAATAAGACTTTCTCCATCATCAACTAGAAGACCAGTTATCATCTGCTGCTCTTACAACTGCAGTCCACCACAAGACTTCTGGCAAATAGTGTAAAATCCATTAAAGGATCTTAAAAGTCAACATTTTAATCATATTAATAAGACAAACACATATTTGAACACTGTAAAGGATCTATTTTTATGTGTATATAATCATAATAACAACCAAATAGTATGCATTTGTAAAATGAGACAGGGAGTGCTTTCTTGTGCAAACTCGTCAGAAAAAAACAGCTGAAACTCTGTGAATAATTGTCTCGCAGACACGAGAAACACACATGCATAAAGCCGGAAAATGTGCACTTTTAAACCGTACACTTACAGAATGAGGAAAATAAATCAGAAACAAATACAATAAAATAAAACTGAGCATCAAAACAAGCAGATTTAAGAACAGCTTTTCCCCCATAGTCCACATAAACAAGGCACTTCACACACACATCCGCTCTGCACATCTATATACAGCTGAAGTCAGAATTATCAGCCCCCCTGAATTATTAGACTGATTGTTTATTTTTCCCCCAATTTCTGTTTATCGGAGAGCAGATTTCTCCAGCACATCTCTAATCATAATAGTGTTAATAACTCATCTTTAATAACTGATTTATTTCCTCTTCTCCATGATGACAGCACATAATATTAGACTGGATATTCTTCAAGACACTAGTGTTCAGCTTACAGTGACATGTAAAGGCTTCACTAGGGTAATTAGGGTAAAGTTAGGGTAATTAGGCAAGTCATTGTATAACAGTGGTTTGTTCTGGAGACAATCCAACACTAATATTGCTGAAGGGGTGAATAATATTGTCCTTAAAATGGTGTTTAAAAAATTAAAAACTGCTTATATTCTACCCAAAATAAAACAAATAAGACTTTCTCCAGAAGAACAAATATTATCAGACACACTGTGAACATTTCCCTGCTCTGTTCAACATCATTTGGAAAATATTTTTAAAAAGAAGAAAAAAAAAATGAAGGCGGTGAATAATTCAGCTGTATATGTATCGCATTTGTCCATCCCTCAACAGCACATTCACACATTCACATTGGGTCTAGTTGTGTCTTCTCTGTAAATATTGTTTACTTTCTTTATTTTAGTCCTCATCATTTGAGCTCACAGTGTAAAAACAGCAGGATCATTTATAGACATTACAACCTGCTATAGTTAGACACACACACACACACACACACACACACACACATACGCACACACACACACACTGCCCACATCTTTTATTTATAGTGCTGACTCACATTTATTCACTTGTTTCCATCCCCATATGCTGTTTTATGCTGTTATTATTCCATTTGTTGAACTTAAAGGTAAAATAAAATAAAAAAAACTACAGGGAAAATTAAAAAATACAAATTAATTTCGTCTCATCAAACCGTATGATGCATATGGTGCGGAATGGAAAACACAAATAAAAATAGAAAGTAGTGATTTCTACATTCACTTTCACTTGTATTTTCAACACAACAGACAGTATTTAACGTGTTCCTCTTCATTATTATTGTTTGTTTGTTTTGAATTAAACACACATTCCAGTTTTGGTTCTTGCAAAACCCTGTGTTCTGGTGCTTGACAAAGGTTTGCCTCAGTAGTGCTGGGTAAAGTCTAGATCGGATATGCGGCCGGCCGGAAGTGCGATATGCACATTAATAAAGCAGCATTTTTTTATGACACTGTATAACAATAATTAATATTTTTACAGTACTGTGAGGGTTGGGTTTAGGGTTGGGGTGGGGTTAGGCATTAAAAAATACATTTTATTGGGTAATTTAATAGATAACATAACTAATACTCAGTACAACTACACTTTTTACATTACTGTGACGGTTGGGTTTAGGGTTGGGGTGGGGGTAGACGTTAATAAAATACAACAAATGAGAAATTTAATAAATAATAGAAATAATTCGCGTTAACTTCAGGCCGCAAACGTATCCGCTCAAGCAACAACCGCAGTGCTGAGCCCATGTGCTGATCTGGCTTATAGATGAGTGAGGATTCTTGATGCAGCGCCCCCTGAGGGATCGGAGATATATATGTTAATATTTAGTTGGCGGTTCATTCCACTGTGGTGACCCCTGATAAATAAGAGACTAAGCCGAAGATAAATGAATGATTAATATATATTTATTAGATTATATTTTAATATGGACAAAAGTCGGGACACGGTGGCTCAGTGGTTAGCACTGTGGCCTCACAGCAAGAAGGTCTCTGGTTTGAGTCCCGGCTGGGTCAGTTGGTGTTTCTGTGTGGAGTTTGCATGTTCTCTCCATGTTGGTGTGGGTTTCCTCCGGGTGCTCCGGTTTCCCCCACAGTCCAAACACATGCGCTATAGGGGAACTGATCAACTACTCTGGCCGTGGTGTATGACCCCTGAAAAAGAGACTAAGCTGAAGGAAAATGAATGAGTTATATGCACAATTATTTAAATATAAATGAGCAGTAAGAAATCTTAGTTTTACTTATTTTCAGACAGAAATTGGTCGCTGCCTTCATACTTTAAAAGAGACAAGAAATATTGAAATAAAAACAACATAATTTTATATTTATTGAATATTTAAACAATTAAATATTAAATAAAAAAAATTAAATATTAAAGTTTTATTATAATATATTAATTACAGCAAAATTTGACTTGTCATGTCTTTATTAATTAATTATTATCTAACTTATCATTGTACTCATTTTCTGTTATTATGTGTTCATTGTGAATACTGTATGTTCATTATTATCATATATACAGTGTATTGCAATAAAATAAGGAGACTGACGTGAGATTGTGCTTCCCTCTGCTGGTGATCTGATCATATTACATCTGATCAAAATGAACAGTGTACTTCCAGACTCTCTAATAACATTCACAGCAATGATTTTGTTGTAGTTGTTGCTACTAAAAACTAAACAAACTTATTCTAAGTATAACTTTTGTCATGCGCTTGATCATTTGATGCATTTGTAAAAGTCTTATTGTACTGTATATCGGATAGTATAGACAATTCCAAAATAATAATAATGACAATGATAGACATACTACTATAGAAATACATTCATTCATTCATTCATTCATTCATTCATTTTCTTAGTCCTTTTATTAATCCGGGGTCGCCACAGTGGAATGAACCGCCAACTTATCCAGCACATTTTTATGCAGCGGATGCCCTTCCAGCCGCAACCCATCTCTCAGAACTATAGAAATACAGTAATATCATAATATAGCTATGCTGCTACACAATAATAGTATGTTAAATAGTTTATTTATAATTTGTTTATTTTATATAGTATACAGTTTTCTGCTTCATAAATCCAGAATTCTGCAGAACTGTCTATTGGAAAACAAAATGATATGCATCATTCATTCCTTTAAGATTTTATTAGCATAAATACAGTTAAAATAGGTATTTTTCCATCAAGTGAAGTGATGTGATGTGTTTGATCATATGATATTTACTGTTTTAATATGCTGTATAGTATGATTCTACTTTTTGAGCTGCTTGTGTGTTTTTAATGCACAAATAATGTTCTGCACTGTGTAAAATATCCCTAAATCAGCAGTTTTCTGCATTTTGTGATGCATGTTTTTGTTTTTCCTCATTTATTTCTGCTTGTGAATGTCATTATGGGATCTTGATCATCTTCTAGCAACGTTTATAACCTTGAACAGTGTGTGTATAGTCTGTGTTCATGTGTAATAGTGTGTAGTGTGTGTATAGTGTGTGTTCTGCTCATGTGTAATAGTGTGCAGTGTGTGTATAGTGTGTGTTCTGCTCATGTGTAATAGTGTGTAGTGTGTGTATAGTGTGTGTTGGTGTTGTATATTACTCTACAGTGAGCTTGTAATAAACTGCAGCACATGTTCTGCTATTCTACACTCTTATTCCTCTACATATGATCTCTTATATTATTTCACACCACTAAAATGTCAATAAAAGTCACTTTGTTAAACTGTAGAGTTGAATTATGAGCATCAGGAGTGGACAGAGCAGAGATCAACATCCCATAATGCAGTTCACCACCGCTAATAAACACAAGCTGTTCATTAGCAGAGATTTTTCACAGTGTATCTGCCAATAACAGTTATTTAATATGCATGTTTAAGCATTTTTGATTAGTTTTGCATGATATTTTCCTAATATTGTGTGCCCGAATGAGCTTAAATAATGTGTGTGTCCTGCACAGGGGTGTACATCCTCATCGCAGCCGGTGGTCTGGTGATGCTGGTGGGTTTTTTCGGCTGCTGTGGAGCCGTGCGGGAGTCGCAGTGTCTTCTGGGATTGGTGAGAGTTACATTTACTAATATCTGAGTAAACACCATAGCATTGCTCACTGATAAATGCTGACTGATAATTGATGAGGACGACAGTAGAGCTGCACTGTAAACAACACCTGCTAATGAACAGTATATGGGATGTTGATCTCTGCTCTGTCCACTCCTGATGCTCATAATTCAACTCTACAGTTTAACAAAGTGACTTTTACTGACATTTTAGTGGTGTGAAATAATATAAGAGATCATATGTAGAGGAATAAGAGTGTAGAATAGCAGAACATGTGCTGCAGTTTATTACAAGCTCACTGTAGAGTAATATACAACACCAACACACACTATACACACACTGCACACTATTACACATGAGCAGAACACACACTTTTGAGGTTAAAAGATCCCATAATGCAATTTAAAACATGGATGGGGGGAAATAAAACATGAATCACACACTGTTAGTTGACAGGTATTTTGTACGGTGTAGTCAGTCTTGCCTTCATGTTATTGACATTTCCAAGCAATTTATTTCCTTTTCTGATTAATTGTTTTCCTTGTTCCTTGTTTCCGCATGCCGGAGTTTGCTCAGACTAATGTTTGTATGTTAGACAGTAGGCTGTGTTCTGGAATGCTCTTTTGGATTTGCCTCTATGTTTCTTTGCACAGATTTAACCTCTGCATTTGCATCTCTACTGCTGTCTGCACATTTCCGGCTTGTTATGCAAGAAAACAGGAATTAAGATGAAAAATAAACAAGGAAATAAAAACTCAAAAAGACTTGATGCGGTAACACTCGTTATGTCATTCTAAAACAGGATGCATTGTTTTGTTTACTGTACACAACACTATTTTAAACTATTTTTATACACGCACACATGTTCAGCTTAAAGGATCGTCAGTCTTCAACGCTTTGGTGCACAGACTTAAACTTGGTCTCATTTTAAAGAAGACACTTGTCAGAATGTGACTGAAGGGAAAAAAAGTTTAAAAAAAAACTTAAAGTTTTTTAAAATAATATAATATAATGCGCCTTTATATAATATAAAAATATAATGCGCCTTTATATTTATGTAAACAATCAAAACAAAAATATAGATTGTATTATATTACATAAAAAATATGTTTAAATTTTTTTTGTCTAAATTAGTCAGAAAATCAAAGCTAAATATTTGAACAAATTATGTTCCAAATATAAAGTTGATAACAAAAAATTTACTTTCAGTGGGATTTTGTTTGGCTGCAGTACTAAACATGAACACCAGGTTATATAATCATTCATTCATTTTCTTGTCGGCTCAGTTCCTTTATTAATTCGGGGTCGCCACAGCGGAATGAACCGCCAACTTATTCAGCAAGTTTTTACGCAGCGAATGCCCTTCCAGCTGCAACCCATCACTAGGAAACATCCACACACACATTTAAACACACACACACACACACACACATACACTACGGACAATTTAGCCTACCCAATTCATCTGTACCGCATGTGTTTGGACTGTGGGGGAAACCGGAGCATCCGGAGGAAACCCACGCCAACACGGGGAGAACATGCAAACTCCACACAGAAACACCAACTGAGCTGACGCTAGACCTTCTTGCTGTGAGGCAACAGCACTACCTACTGCGCCACTGCTTCGCCTATATATAAAATAGTATATATTAATATAAATAAATAAATAAGTTAAGAAGTTAAACTAAAATCTAATACTTTTTATTATATTTTCAAGGGCTGAAAACAGCAGCTTTTGAAACAGGGCAACCGCTTAAAAAAATCATTTTCATATTTGTCAATTACTCACTTGCTATTCAAAATGCAGATTTTTAGATGTAAAGAAAACCGCTTAAAATCTTTAGTACATGCTGTCAAATAAATGCCATTAAATTGACAAATACCACAAAACTTTACCACAATTTATCAAAGACATACTTAACTTACAGGGCTTTTACTGGCTTATACTGTTTATCTTTATATATATATATATATATATATGCGCAATATCACACGAGTAGCAGGCTGTATCGGCAGCAGACTGATTGTCTTAGTGTCCCACCACTGATGATATACAGCCATACCGGACTGCTGCAAGTGTGGTATTGCGTTCTGCAAACACCAGCAGATTACTATGGTAATAATGCAGCACTACAACACACAAAGAGAGAGTGTCACTTACCTGTTTAATAATGATTTGATCTGCTGTAGCTTGAGTTTTTCCTTCTCTAAGGGCTTATTATGCGGTCTTTGACGCCATCTTGTGGCAGAACATCAACCGTTTTTGCTATGCTCAGTATGACATGCTGATGGCGTTGAATCTCTGAAGTTATGATTATTTAAAATAGGCACTATCCCTATAAATAAACCGAGTAGCTGCAATCTAAACAATGACAATCTCACCTAAAAAAGCCTCAACAGTACATGATGTTGTCCAACAGCTGCAATATTTGTCAAACTGTAGTGAGTTTATTGATCTGATGTCACTCTGTGTGGGCGGAGTAATACACAAAGGTGAAGAGGCTGTACCAGTGCTGTTCTTGCAAAATATTGCACCCCTATATATATATATATATATATGAAATGTAGAAAGCATTTTAATTTATTTAACATTATTTATGTCTCTTTTACAGTTTTTTGCCTGTCTTCTGGTCATCTTTGGAGCTGAAGTTGCAGCAGGAGTTTTTGGCTTCATCAACAAAGACAAGGTATTATTATTATTATTATTATTATTATTATTATTATTATTATTATTATTATTATTATTATTATTATTATTATTATTATTATTATAGTGGAAATGACATGACACATGTTGATTCAAAGCTCTTTATTTCAATAAATCAGATTTTTACAGCACAAGTTTCTTTAATGTTTCATCTTAGATCATTCAGGAAATAAGGCACTTCTATGATGAGTCTGCTGGAAACAACAACAATAATGCAACCGTGCAGTCCTACCACACCGTAGTGAGTTCACATTATTACCTTGTTTTATTACTCTACTACACCTTATTGTGGATTTAATCAGACTGTGGTGTCATTATAACTATATACATGTGTAGTTGAATTATTCACCCTCCTGTTTCATTTTTAATTCTTTTATATTTTCTTATACTTTTATATGTTATACATTTCTACTCATAATAATGTTAATAACTCATCTCTAATAGCTGATGTGTTTTCTCTTCACCATGATGACAGCACATAATATTAGTCTAGATATTCTTCAAGACACTAGTGTTCAGCTTACAGTGGCATGTAAAGGCTTCACTAGGGTAATGAGGGTAAAGTTAGGGTAATTAGGCAAGTCATTGTATAACAGTGGTTTGTTCTGGAGACAATCCAACACTAATATTGCTGAAGAGGCGAATAATATTGAGCTTAACATGACTTTAACACTATTAAACACTGCTTTTATTCTAGCCCAAATAAAACTAATCAGACTTTCTCCAGAAGAACAAATTTTCAATAATGTGTAAATGTCTAAATATCATTTGAGAAATATTTGAAAATGCACAAATATCGAGCAGGAGGGTGAATAATTTTGCCCACAACTATATGTACTGTATATATGTTTAATGTTGTCATAAAAGACTGTAATTGTGGCTGTAATTGTATTTTAACCCGTCTCATCTGCAGTTGAGTTGCTGTGGTTCATCTACAGTGACGCCATCCTCATGTAAAAACATGGTATTTAACCAGGTAAGCTCTTAAATGAAACACTGATTAAAACTGTCTGCTACTAGTAATAGTTCTGCACAATACTGAGAAAACATGCAATAATACGAGTATTACGATAGCGATATTTCTTGCGATACATGTCCCATTAAAGGTATTTTGGATATTTAGTCTGATCTAGTAAACTGGCTAACATGTAGACACTGTGAACGAGTGTAAACCTGATATGCAGATATTCTGACTCTGATTGGCTGTTGTCATTTTCCTCTTATCTTGACTCCGCCCACTATTGTTTAAATTCAGCACTGAGTTCAGCTTCCAGCCATTAGTAGAACAGCACCTACTGGGTGGGCGGGGCTTAAGATAGAATCACCCCATCTGATTGGTCAAATTTGGATGAACAGTCAGTGCTGATAGCCTCATGTGTAGAGCTATTGCTAGAAGGGATACAGCTGGAAGGCGGGAGGTTGAATTATTATTCATTACATTATTCATTAACTGTATTTTATTAACATCTAAACCTACTCAAACCCTAAACCCAACCCTCACTGTCAGGTAAAAACAGCAATTATACTGAATATTATTCATATTATTTTTTAAATTACACATTAAATGCATTTTATTAACGTTAACCCTGAACCCAATCCTCACAGTAACGCAAAAACAGTAATTATACAGAGTATTATTCATATTATTTATTAAATTACCCATTAATTAGCATTTTATTAACATCTACTCTAAACCCAATCCTCACAGTAATGTGAACTGTTAAATATTGTTGTATGGTGTCATAGAAATGACGCTATCCACAGCTGTATCCCTTCTAGACGTAACCCATGCACCGTATGCCAACATTGTGCTTTGGGCATCAATACCGCAATACCAATAATTCCCCGATATGTTGTGCAGCCAAAATTAGTAAACACTTAGTTTAAAAGCACAGTGTGTGAGTTTGGCCATTAGAGGGCGTCTATTCACAACAAACAAAGGCATATTTCCATGACTGTGGCTGAGTGTGGAATCATGGGAGTTGTAGTCATTTTAGGCGTCTGTTATATGTAGTGCTGCGAAACTCTAAAGTCGCATATGTAAGTACAAAAGTCAGTGTTTCATAAAAAGATACATGAAAATGGCAGATATAGTGTCTGTAATAGCAGAGTTTGACATGCAGTGAAGTGTGTATACGCATTGATCTGTGTGTGTGTGTGTGTGTGTGTGTGTGTGCAGACGTGTGACGTGGCCATTGAAGAGTTTTTCAACAGTAAGCTGTTCATCGTGGGTTACGTGGGAATAGGAATCGCTGGAGTCATGGTAAATGAACTTTTTTTGTCAATAATACAGTCTGTTATCATGTCCGCAGTTTAGGATAATGTACATCCAGGTGGTTGTTCTCACAGAATATATACAGTCGAGCTCGATTATTCACACCACTTATTACAAAGTAAAACAAGATTACTCTGCTTAACACATTATATTGCTTGTTTTAAGGAGAAACTCGCTTCATTTTGACTCCTTAATTCTGAAAACAGGACAGTATGTTGTACTTGTCTTGTAATTGCTTCTTGATTTAAGAATTTGTAGATATTTGGACTAGAAACACGACACAAACTCAAGTAGGAAAAGCATTAGTTGCAGTGCATTTCCGAATGACCAATTTACTCTGGGATTTGAATATCCTGTAATAACATTTGGACATGTTTGTCATGTTGAAATGTTAATTTGATGTTGTTTTGACATCAATTATTGATGCAATTTTTTTTAATGGTTTTTAATATAATTTCTTTAAACTTACTGTATCCAGTAAGTATTCCAGTTCATGTCCTCTTTGTGTTTAAACATGCACTGTAAAAATGAAAAGTGTTTTCTTTTATCTGCGGTTGTGAGTTGCATTATGGGGGTCACTTTGGCTCAGTGGTTGACGCTGTGGCCTCTCAGCAAGAAGGTCACCTGTTTGCGTCCCGGCTGGGTCAGTTGTTGCTTCTGTGTGGAGTTTGCATTTTCTCCACGTGTTTCCCAGTGTATGGGTGTTGCAGCTGTAAAGGCATCCGCTATGTAAAACATATGCTGGAATAGTTGGTGGTTCATTCCGCTGTGGTGACCCCTGATAAATCAGGGACTAAGCTGAAGGAAAATGATTGAATAAGTTGCATTGTAGGATGTTGATGTCTTCTGATGTTGAAAATTCAACTCTACAGTTTAACAAAGTGACTTTTATTGAGATATTATAATGTATAAGCAATAATTTATAGGGGAATAATAGTGTAAAATAACAGAAATACAATATTAAATACAATATCAACCCAGACATTATAGCACTTTAAACTATTACAAATGTTCAGAAAAGTCACTTTTCACACTTTTCAAGGTTAAACGTTGTGTTGGAGGAAAGATCAACATCCCATAATGCAACTTAAAAGCTGAAATAAATGAGGAAAAGTTTTAAAATCAATCACAAAGTATGAGTAATTGCAAATTTAGCGGTATTTTTTACAGTGTTCACATAACATCTCCTTAATTTACTTGTATTTTTCGAATTTTTTCAGATTATAGGCATGATCTTCAGTATGGTCCTCTGCTGTGCCATCCGAAACAGCCGGGAGGTGATCTAACAGAGTTCCTCCTCTCCTAAAACACAACCTTTCACCTCTGCTGGACACACACACACACACACACACACACACACACACACACACACACACACACACACACACACTCAAGAGTAACATTCCCAAACTCAAGCCAAAAACCCTGCTGTTTAAACTCGCTGGATCTCCTGAATTGAACGCCTGCTGGTTCGGTGCTGGATCCTTTCAGTCATTTCCTCAAATCTCTATTAATATATTCTGACATGCGGCTCCTCCAGTCAGATGTATATTCAGGCTATTCTGGGCTGTTGCTGCGTGTCTTCACATGCCAGATATAAATATTGTGTAATGTGACGCCAAGGCTTTCTTTTGCCTTTTACGATTGTACACAAACGGAGTAGACTTCACGTCACGGAGAGAGACAGAGAGATCTCAAACATTTACCAATTATTGCACGCATGCGCACACAAAACACACATTTCTTTCAATCATTGATTTGACTTTTAATAATAATAATAATAAGAATAATACTGTAGTACTGCTTCAGGAAAGACTCACACACTCATATTTCCAGCTCCGCTTCTCTGATACTGTATTCCAGTGAGAATTTCTGACCAGAATGTTCCACTTCCAATCCAAGCAGCTTTCAATTGGTCAGATTATTCAATATGAGTGAAAAATCACACAAAAGTATGTGTTGTGTACATATCTGTGTTGTCATCGTAGTTGTAGCAATGATGAAGGTCTGTATTGTGTGTTTAAAGGGGCCGTTCACCCAAAAATTCATATGCACTCACATATGTGAAAGTAGGTATAAACCTTTATGAGTTTCTCTCGTTTGTTGATCACTAAAGAAGATACTTTGAAGAATGCTGAAAACCGGTAACCATTGAGGAAAAACAAATACTGTAGAAGTCAATGGTTACAGGTTTTCAACATTCTTCAAAATATCTTCTTTAGTGTTTAACACAGAAAAGAAACTCAAACTGTGTTGGAACAAGTAAATAGAGACGGAAATTACTGTTTTGTGGGGGGGTGGCGGTGGGGGGTGGTTGAGAGTTGTCACTGTGTGGGCAGAGGCTGTTTGAGTGCAGAATATCACATGGCTATCAGCCAATCAGATTTGAGAACCAGACATATCAGTTAATAGAACAAACCAAGTCTAAACAACTATAAACTGCTACTCAAATGGTTTACACAAACAACAGAAGTTGAGTTTAGGTATTAGGAATGCTCTAATGAACTGTTCAGATCTTAATAATAGACAGATTATAATAATAATACAGTCATAAATAACATGAATTGTGAACTAAACTAAAGTGTTTCCTAAATGTCCTGCATTTTTTGGGTGAACTGTCCCTTTAAGGTGCCTTTTTAACGTATACAAAAACACAACTTGACGTTTGGTTGTTTCTATTTTTGCATGAAGGGATTGGAAAGGGATGGATTTTCTCTTCTGTGTTGTTATTTATAACGGGGCCGCCGTTGGTTGGTCAGATGTGTTTCTGCTGGTGCATCACTGCTGCAGTTCCTCAAGCTAAAATGGCATTAGAGTATTGATTAGCAAAGGCCTTAAGAAATTTCAGCCACGGGGCCCGAAAACCCTAATATACAGTATGCACCCTTGTGTTAATCTATTTATTTATTTGCTTGTTTGTTTTGTTCTTTTTAGCTTTTGTGTCTTGCAGTCTTTTTCATAAATCAGTCAATTATCTCCTTTTCTACATTTTGTTTCTTAAAATAAACAAATAACTAAAATAATCAATTGTTTGGTTAATTAAATCTGATTCGACTGCTCCGTGATTGGAGGTGGGGGGCAAAATTGCACAGATGTAATAATAACAATACAGTTTTATTTGTTAGACCCTCACCGGCCACTTTATTAGGTACACCTGTCCAGCCGCTCATTAAAGCAAATTTCTCATCAGCCAATCACATGGCAGCAGCTCACTGCATTTCGGCATGTAGACATGGTCAAGAGGATCTGCTGCAGGTCAAACCGAGCATCAGAATGGAAAAGAAAGGCGATTTAAGAGACTTTGAACGTGGCATGGTTGTTGCTGCCAGACGGGCTGCTCTGAGTATTTCAGAAACTGCTGATCTACTGGGATTTTCACGCACAACCATCTCTAGGGTTTACAGAGAATGATTCGACACAGTACCTTGTTGAACCCATGCCATCAAGGATTAAGGCAGTCCAACCAGGGGTCCAACCCAGTACTAGTATGGTGTACCTAATAAAGTGGCCGGTGAGTGTATGTTTTATACTTTATTCTTGGGTAATTATTGTAGGCCCACAATTTTTCTTATTAGTTAAAACCGTCCCTGTTGATTAGGACACACACAGCGTACTCATAAAATATAATAGTGTTGTAGATCTGTCCTCATACGCAAACACAACCCTGCTGCGGTTGATCAGACTGTACAGTGACTAGTGTAAAGCATGTAGCGTGGCTTTGAAATGAGGTTTTGTCAGTGTGTATTGTGTGTGTGTATTCTTTTGTACTGTAAATCAACACTGCAGTTTTTGATGTTAGTGATCAGAATTTAATTTATTTTCTGCAGAATTTAAAGCCGTTTCTCAGGAACATTGCAGCATGACATCAAATAAACGTTGACGTTTCTGACTCTTGCGTGTGCTTTTCCGTTCAAATCAGATTTGTAATGAGCCCTGCATGGCTGGTAAACTAATCCACAGGACCTTAGTGAGGCCACCTCATCACATGACATAATCTTTTAAATGATTGCAATGCAAGGGACTGGAAGTGACATTTTAGCATCTTCAAACCACTCGGATCACATGACAAGGGCTTGAGTAATATCAGGTTATAGTGTGTGTGTGTTGTGTGTGTGTGTGTGTGTGTGTGTGTGATTTTAGCCTCAGCTTGGCAGTGTGCAGTGCTTCTACTGCCCTATTTATCCTAAATATAGATCATGCAGTTCAGCCACAGCAGGTTTGCCAATACCTCAGTGAATCATAATTTCTTATAAAAGCTACAATTTAAACAGTTTTGGGTCTAATATTGATATATTTGTGCACATTTGCTTTAAAACAATTATAACAAAGTATTTTTGTATTATTAGAAATGTATGTGCTTCTCAGGAATGAAAGCTCAGAAATGTAAAGGCAATTTTGACATTTTAGTGACTATTTATATTATATAATATATCAAATAAGCTGCTTCTGTTATCTTAATGAACAAAAAGCTGACTAAAGAGATAGTTCACCCAAAAATACACGATGTACTATTCCCAGAGTGGGTCAAGAGTATTCTGATAAACACAAAAGAAGATATTTTGAAGAATGCTGAAAATCAGTAACCATTGACTTCCTTAGTAGGAAAAACAAATACTGTGGAAGTCAATGTTTACCAACATTTTTTAAAGTATCTTAGTAAAGTATTTGTTTTTTTTTGTTCAACAGAATAAACTCTTCAAGGTTTGAAATATGTAAAGAGTGAGTAAATGATGACTGAATTTTCTTTTTTTCTGAACTATCCCTTTAAGCACTGAAATATCAGTGTAAAAAACACTGTAGGTTTGCAGCGGGCTTCATTTGGTCTCGTCTTTCTAGCGTGAAATGTATGCTGGAAGCACTTGGACAGAATCTCACAGGCTAAAGTTTCAGCCCTGATGCACAGTGTGCACTTTCACCAACACTGAAGAGAACTGAGCTAACACTTACCGAGCACATGTCTGTCGTTTACTTCACAATATTACACTAGCTGTGTTCCCATCCAAAGACTCGCATTGAGTTTATGTGCAAATCTGGAATATTGCATAAAATATTCATGAATAAACCAGTGTCCAGTCAATGCTGAACAGAAGAGCATCACATCCTCAGCTCCTGCTGCTCCTGCACAGATATCACTGAGAGAAGTGGAGTCTGCTGCACTCTTCTCCTATAATAAATGAGTCAGAGGACCAAGACCAGAAATGTCCAAACTTGGTGCTGGAGGGCCGGTGTCCTGCAAAGTTTAGTTCCAACCCCAATCAGACACACCTGTGCTAGCTAATCAAGCTCTTACTAGGCTTTCTAGAAACATCTTTGCAGGTGTGTTGAGGTAAGTTAGAGCTAAACTATGCAGGACACTGGCCGTCCAGAACCGAGTTTGGACACCCCTGACCAAGACTAGAATGCGATGGCTTTTGGAGACGTGAGCGCAGACAGCCGCTCAAGACCAGGGGTCACCAATCTTGGTCCTGGAGTGCCGGTGTCCCTGCAGGGTTTAGCTCCAACTTGCCTCAACACACCTGCCTGGGTGTTTCATGTATACCCAGTAAGAGCTTGATTAGCTTGTTCAGGTGTGTTTGATTAGGGTTGGAGGTAAAATCTGCAGGACACCAGCCCTCCAGGAGCAAGTTTGGTGTTCCCTGCTCAAGACAGTTCTGGAGGGAATAATAATAGTGGAATACTGGATAATACTTACTTTTGGACCCTTAACAAGTGGGAGGCAAATACGCAAACTGTTGTAATTCCTACAGCGTTCACCTGATTTGGATGTAAATACTCTCAAATTCAAGCTGACAGTCTCATCTTGTTCATTTCAAATTCATTCTGTTGGTGTATAGATCCAAACATGTTAGAATTGTGTCCATGTACAAATATGTATAGACCTAACTGTGTTTAGTAAAGCGTCAAGACTACATTTAATACAATTTGCACTGCTTCATGTTGTGTTCACACTCGTTTCAGGATCTAAATATGACAGTTTAACAAGGTTAGATTGAACAGAACGTCTTTTAATTCTGTAAATGTAAAGTCCTAGTTTCTCTTCAGCCGGAACCAAACATCCTGCTTCTGTCCGTCTCTGCAGAGTCGTGTATATTGTATAACAATGTCCTCAGAGATGATATCCACGTTATTCAGCAGCGCCTCAACAATATATACAAAACATCACAGGACAGGTACGACTATTAACAGAGGACATATGTATAGAAACAGATATCACATGATGCTCTGGCCCTTGATGTGCATGTATCATGGCCGTGTGTTTTCAAATCAACCCTCACTGAGGATAACTCTCTGACCATGCACTTCCAAAAGAAAAAGCAAGGTAATCTTGTGCAATGATATAGCTTCATGAATAAGCCAGTTGTATATGCTAAAGCTAGCATATGTAAAGTCTGAGCCATTAACAGTGTTTCCAAAAATATGTCTCAGTACACTCTCATAACAACACACACACACATCATCTGTGCAAAATGACCTTCTCTGATTTGAATCAACTTTTTCCATTGAGCTCATCTTGTACAATTTGTCACACGGTCATAAGATCTCGTTGGATCTCACGAATTTAGCTGCATCATTGTCGAGTTGGTCTTTAAAGATTAAGTCAGGTGGTGTGAAGAGGTTTAGACTGAGTAAAGGTTGAATGGGGTTTGTCCGAGGAGGAACTCTCCCACACCGATGAAGTAAACCACTTGAGCAATCCCGAAGAGCGGAGCGATGACCAGCGCCCTGCAGCCGGCTCCCTTCAGGAACGCACTCGGACCTTCTTTACGCATTATCTTTCTGTAGGAGGAAAAACAGGCATCATCACAGAGGAACCAAATGTGCATCATTACAACAGAGGAACTAAATGTGCATCATTACAACAGAGGAACTAAAGGTGCATCATTACAACAGAGGAACTAAAGGTGCATCATTACAACAGAGGAACTAAAGGTGCATCATTACAACAGAGGAACTAAAGGTGCATCATTACAACAGAGGAACTAAAGGTGCATCATTACAACAGAGGAACTAAAGGTGCATCATTACAACAGAGGAACTAAATGTGCATCATTACAACAGAGGAACTAAAGGTGCATCATTACAACAGAGGAACTAAAGGTGCATCATTACAACAGAGGAACTAAAGGTGCATCATTACAACAGAGGAACTAAAGGTGCATCATTACAACAGAGGAACTAAAGGTGCATCATTACAACAGAGGAACTAAATGTGCATCATTACAACAGAGGAACTAAAGGTGCATCATTACAACAGAGGAACTAAAGGTGCATCATTACAACAGAGGAACTAAAGGTGCATCATTACAACAGAGGAACTAAAGGTGCATCATTACAACAGAGGAACTAAAGGTGCATCATTACAACAGAGGAACTAAAGGGGTATCATTACAACAGAGGAACTAAAGGTGCATCATTACAACAGAGGAACTAAAGGTGCATCATTACAACAGAGGAACTAAAGGTGCATCATTACAACAGAGGAACCAAAGGTGCATCATTACAACAGAGGAACCAAAGGTGCATCATTACAACAGAGGAACCAAAGATGCATCATTACAACAGAGGAACTAAAGGTGCATCATTACAACAGAGGAACTAAAGGTGCATCATTACAACAGAGGAACCAAAAGTGCATCATTACAACAGAGGAACTAAAGGTGAATCATTACAACAGAGGAACTAAAGGTGCATCATTACAACAGAGGAACTAAAGGTGCATCATTACAACAGAGGAACCAAAAGTGCATCATTACAACAGAGGAACTAAAGGTGAATCATTACAACAGAGGAACTAAAGGTGCATCATTACAACAGAGGAACCAAAAGTGCATCATTACAACAGAGGAACTAAAGGTGCATCATTACAACAGAGGAACTAAAGGTGCATCATTACAACAGAGGAACTAAAGGTGCATCATTACAACAGAGGAACTAAAGGTGCATCATTACAACAGAGGAACTAAAGGTGCATCATTACAGGAGAGGAGGAACCAAAAGTGCATGGTTAGCCCCTTTCACACTGGTAAATTTACGGAAAATTTCCAGAATGACTCCTTCATTTTCCTTTGGCTTAGTCCCTTATTTATCAGGGTGGAATGAACCAACAACTATTCCAGCATATGTTTTACGCAGTGGATGCCCTTTCAGCCGCAACCGAGGACTAGGAAACACCCATACGCACTCATTCTCTCTCTCACACACAACTAACAATTTAGTACTACCCAATTCCCCTATAGTGCATGTGTTTGGAAACCGGAGCACCCGGAGGAAACCCACGCCAACACAAGGAGAACATGTAAACTCCACACAGAAACACCAACTGACCCAGCCGAGACTCAAACCAGCGACCTTCTTGCTGTGAGCCAACAGCCATACCCACTGCGCCATACTGCAGCCTCAGGGTTATCAATAAACAAGAGGATCACAAGCTGATGATTGACCACAGCTGGTCCAGCATTAGCTAACACATGATGCACCAATCAGATAAATCCTAACTCACGATAAATGACCAGAGTAATCTCAGTTAACTTCGTCTTTCAAGAATCCCCCCTTCCACCCCTACTCCACCTTCTTTTTCATAGATGAGCGTAACGGCAGCCCAGTGGTTAGCACTGTTGCCTCACAGCAGGAATGTCACTGGTTCAAGTCTTTCCCAGGTCAGTTGAAGTTTCTGTGTAGAGTGTAAATGTTCTCCCCGTGCTTGCTTGAGTTTCCGCCGGTTTCCTCCCACTATCCAAAGACATCAAGGCACAAGGATTCTGAACAGTGGGGATGGGTGCATGACGTATTTGAAGAGCAGGGAGGGATGCAGTGCAGAGGGGTATTTGAGCACAGGTGGGAGACATGCGACTTCTGGAAGAGTATCATTTAATTGCGGGCATCCAGGAGTCTCTATGCATTTGCGTGAGACTCACGGAACTTCCGGGAGACTTGGGATGTCTGTTACCCGTAATATTACTTCTCTTTATGGAAAATTGATGGAACAACTTTACTTCACACATGATCTCTTTGTCTGTGATTTTCCAGAAAGTCTGTTTGTGTGAAAGGAGCTAATGCCTGCTGATTCTCTTCCCCAGGAGAATGTTTTGTTACTGTACCTGATGCAGTCCACTACGCCATTGTAGGTATCCTCGTTTGCGCTTTTATTGAGCGACTGCAGCCGGGTTTTCACAACTGTGAAGAGAGAGGATCAAGCTTAAACTCTGCACATATGCTAACATCTGCTTGTGTTATGGAGCCAGACATACACACTCACCATCACATGGACTGACGGCCACAGCCGCGGTACATCCAGCCACACAGCCCGAAATAAACGACCAGTAAAAAGGCACGTCGCTGTCCTCAGAGGTCTTGCCCAACTGGTTGATGTGGGCAAACAATGGAAAGTAAACCACAGAGAAGGGGATGTCCCTGTAAAAAGAAGAACCAAGGTCTGTAGCACTAATATCTCAACCTTTCTTGTTTTAACATGTATACCTAGCACATAATTAAAGCCTTCACCCCACCCTACACATAAGATTTGATAGGAATGAGAGGCTACTAATGCCTTGTGTCTTATGGTTCGGTATAGTACAGTACTGTTGACCATATTGTTCTCATATGAGTGGACTCAGCCATTGGAATCTTTTTGGCTGGAGACTTCCACTATCATTCACTTTCCTTTATTTCTCGATGTTTAAAACAGCTCGTTCTGCTGCTTGATGTTGCAAACTGATCATTTCTTATTACATTATTCTTCACTATATGTATAGTCATGAACACACTTGTTGGTAGAGCGAGTAGTTTGATTGTTTATTATTCCTAGATATTTCTCCTTAAGTCAGAAGTTCTGAAACAATCGCAGAATAAGGTCGATACAGAATTATTTTCCACTATCAGGAGCACAATCATACGGTTCCTAAAGAGTGGAGCTAGACTCACTGAAGAGCACTGACTGGTTTACAGAGAATTATTTCTTAAATATAACACTTAAACACGACACTGTAAAAACACAATGATGCTACCCTGCAATGACCCATGAACCAATATACCATCCAGAAACTGGATGTCATGGTGAGAAATTAAAAGAACCCAGAACGGGATCTGAGGTTTGTCCTCCATTGTTGTTTACAGCTGTCATCTTTGTGCATGAATGACTTCTAATCATCACTTTTAGGCATACACCATGCACCATATACAAGGGTACAACTGGCAATGGAAATGCAAGCCTGATCAGGATGATGTGTACTTGATCATACTGTACAGCGTACCGTTCTGCGCTGAGGAAACAAACCATGAGAAAGATCTTGAAGGCTCTGGTTCTGTCAAAACTTAAATCTGAAATTGCCAATATTATTTCAGTACCAACAAGGGGATGGATCTTTGAGTAGGTTGAACTTGGGCAAGTCTCAGCTCAGTCCTTCTCCTGTGGGCCAATATCAAAGTTTATCTCCAGCTCTAATTAAGTCCCATGTGAACTAGAAACCTTCAGGCAGCTGTGTTAGAAAACCTTCCAGGGGATTGGACACTCTTTTTGTCTCACCAAAAGTTGCCATCAATATATAAACTAGTGTTTATTTAGTCTACTTGTATCAGGGGTCAGTGTAAGTAGTTCTGGAGAAGCGGTGTCCTGCAGTTTAGCTTAATTTTCTCCAACACACCTGCCTGGAAGGTTCAAGTATACCAAGAAAGAGCTTAATTAGCTTGAGACATGTTTGATTAGGATTGGAGCAAAACTCTGCAGGACACCGGACTTTCATGAACGAGTTTGGTGACTTAGTTTACCTTTGCCCCAATGTCAGTTTCTAGGGGCCGGATGCACCAGCAGTGCTTCTTATTAAGGATTACATCATTCAATGTGACTGCGTATTACTTTACGGAGAGCTTACAACCTACTAACTACGATCTGCCTTCCCAGCAGGCACAGGAGGTCAACATGACGTCAGATTGACATTGTACTCCAATGTCATGGGGATGTTGCAGTTTGTTTGGAAATAAAAATCGAGTTGATGTCAGAACCTAATGTCAGGCCAACATCAATGTCCAACCTAAAACCAACCAAATATAATGATGTTACAGCTTGACACTGTGTGGATGTTACCACTATGATGTCTATTAGATGCTGGTTTCCATACCTGACAAATAAATGTCAGTATTTGACGTTAATATGACGCTGTTTTAAGATGTTGGCTCGACGTTGGATTTTAGTTACTTTCCAATACAACCTAAGATTAACCAAATATCATGTTGTTATTGGATGTCGAAATAATGTGGTCCTTAGACACTGGCTAGATAATAAAATTTGGTCACCTGACATCACGACCTAAATCTAACCTAATATTAATGTCTCATGACATTGTGTGCCTGCTGGGTAAAGATCCCGTGCTTAGTTACAAACTAGCTAGTAGTTACAAAGCCTCTAGTGAGGACTTAAGTTCCAGTTCAAGCAAGAACTTACAGACAGCTGCTGCAACTCTAGAGGATTAGGATTACCTTTCTATTATCTTTACAGATGGAGTCTCACCTCATGAGCGTCGCTCCTAGGCCTTTGTAAAGTCCCTGGATGCCTTTGGTGCGAAATAGTTCTTGGGCAATCTGAACGGCAGATACTTTTCGAATGGAAGACACGGGACCCACACTGTAGGAATAGTTGAGGACTGGACTGGCCGCTCCCAGTTTCACAGTATGGAGGATCGGTACGTTCCTCTGCTGGGCCACTGGATGCAAAACATGACGAATATCTTTCTTCATACAGCACATTTGCAAATCAAGACTACTAAATGCTTTCCCAGAGTTGCTTTTTGTGGAGAGCTTCTGTCAGTGCTCATGCCTCACCAAGTCGACCTGCATCCTGAAGCTGAATCTTGAGCATTTCCATTGGGGTCGTGACAATAACCTGACACATCCCTGCCCCGCAACCAGCCAACATTTCCTGGAACACGCTCAGCTTGAGGCTGAAACACAGACGTGAATCATTTAATCTCTTTATATTGACCTGTAATGAGTGTTGTACAGTTTCCTGATAAAGGTACGTACTCTCCCCTGCTGAGCCGCTGGCGGAAGAAGTCGTTGGCGGCCAGTTTGATGGCCTTTTCAGGAGTCACCAGTGTCAGGTTGACTGCTGCACCTGTCAAGAGAAAAGCCGATCTATGAAGAGTAATAACCAGTTCTAAGATCTATAAATTGTAAGTTCATACTGAATTCCTGCCTTTATTTTCCACAATGAATCAGTAGCATTTCTAAATATTGTTTGGGCATGTAGAACTTCCATACAAGTGTCAAATATCTAAAAGTGAGTAACAAGTAAAGCTTTGTGAACACCGCTGTGAATGTAACCCATTCAAGGACAATTCTCTTGATTAAACTACAGTTGAGGTAAAGACAATTTTAACGTTGTAATGTATGTACCACAGGGTTAATTACATGTGTATTTATACAGCGCATTTACTGTGTATGTCCATACACCCAAAGCGCTTCATAATCATGAGGGGGTCTCTCCACACCACCACTAGTGTGCAGCTCCACTAAGATGATGCCACAGTATAACAGAGACACTGATAGAGCCAATTCAGTTGATGGGGATGATTGGGAGGCCATGACACCGGGGTTACACCCCTACTCTTCACCAGAAGTGCCCTGGGATTATTAATAAGCACAGAGTCAGGACTTCGGTCTCATCTGAAAGACGGCGCTCACTGACAGTATAGTATCCCCTTCCCTATATTGGAGCATTAGGACTTACTCAGACCACAGGTTGAGCGCCCCCTGCTGGCCTCACTAACACCACTTCCAACAGCAACCTAGCTTTCCTCTTTTTGTCTCTCATTCAGACACTGACCAGCCTCAGCCCTGCTTAGCTTCAGTGAGTAACCGCTCTTAGGCAGCAGGGTGATATGGCTGCGGTACTAAGCAGGTACACGGTACTAAGTACCTCAAGATACAGTTCAAGCCATTGAGTCAGACTTGATTCATCAAGTGGAATGCCAAAGACAATAAAACATCATCACCTTTACATCTTTACTAGCACACAGACACCTTTCATTGCATCGGAAATCTACAAATCCACCGAAAGCATTAAACTGGCCTGATCTTTTATATTCACTTCAATATTTAATTAGAGGTTCTCGCAATCTCTCTGATGTTTGGCAACCCTTATTGTCATATTTATCTGCAATAAATGTACTTGCTGTGAAATAATGTGACACTACAGCCAGTTTAGTTTATCAGTTCCCCTATAGCGCATGTGTTTGCACCCGGAGGAAACCCACGCCAACACGGGGAGAGCATGCAAACTCAACTGACCCAGCAGGCACTCGAACCAGCGACCTTCTTGCCGTGAGGCCACAGTGCTAACCACTGAGCCACCGTGCCACACCAAACTCTATAATCTCAGTATAAATAATGACATTTGTACTTGTAGAAAAGTGTTACCAAGCACCACCTCTAACTTAGAAACAACAAGCGAATCCAGTCCTAGTCCTAGTTTAGCACAGCTATCAGGAAGTTTCCTGTGACCCTGATGATCTTGATTAGCAGGTTAATTTTATGGCATAAAGTGCTGACATGTTATGTAACACAAGTTCTGTTTCCTTTCAGGAATAGGAGATGTTCAAGTGAACTACTTACCTCTGTACATTCCAAAGTATCCCTCAGACCGAACGGTCTTTATCAGACAGTCCATCCTAATCAACATAAAGAAGGTGTTATTGAGGTCTACAGAGCTAAATCGTCATTTCTACACCCCCTAATCCTAATACCTAACCCTACCGTCAACCTCAATACCTCACATTATTAATAATGACTTATAACTATTCGTGTATGATACTGACTGTTTATTAGTACACATACACTACATATTCTGCATAATCATATTCTACACCCCTTAAAACCTTAATAATTAATAATAAGCAGGAAATTAGTCGTTTAATTAGGCAAAACTCATGATTAATGTGTGGTTAACAGTGAGAACTCAACCCTAAAATAAAATGTGACCCAAAACCACAAGTATGAACCCTACACAGCGCCGCACCCCTGTCACTCATGCACACCGTCGCAGAAAGAGAAACGGGTTTTCAGCTGATGATCTCACTTTCCCTCAGCAACTGTCTTTTAAGGAAACTCCTCTCCTCTTTAGGGTTGGGCGACTCTTTAGTGCAGTTTAAAGGTTTTTTTTTTTATTGGGATTCGAAAAGGAACCAAAAACAGCTTGACTGAAGTAAATGACGGATGCAGACGTACATGTTTTTGTACACCCGTTGGCTTCCTCTTTGGTTCTGCAGTCTGGTTTTGGCCAGATCAATGGGAAAGACGCAGGTGACGCCCACCAGTCCCGCAACTCCGCCATTGATGAGCTTGGCAGGGAGGCTAAAGGAAAACACATGAGAGAGAGAAAAAGCATGTGCAAACATGGAACAATATAAGAGAGAGAGGGCACTTGAGAGTTCTCTGGATTCACAATTCATAGTTATGGCTTTGTGTAAGCGTCATCTTTGTGTTATTCCGTAAACCATTTATGATGTTATTTTCACTCATTCATTCATTTTCCTTCGGCTTATTCACTTATTCATCAGGGGTCACCACAGCGGAATGAACCACTAACTATTCTGGCAGGTTTTACACAGTGGATACCCTTCTAGCTGCAACCCAGTACTGAGAAACACCCATACACACTCACACACACACTTATTTAATCAATTCGCTACACGGGGAGAACATGCAAACTCCACACAGAAACAGCAACTGACCCAGCCGGGACTCAAACCAGAGACCTTCTTGCTGTGAGGCCACAGTGCCAAACACTGAGCCACCGTGCCACCCATGATGTCATTTTACCATTTCAAATTTTAAAAAAATGTTAATTAAAAGACATTTTAGTTGGCGGTTCATTCCGCTGTGGAGACCCCTGATAAATCCAGGACTAAACCGAAGGAAAAATGACATAATGACTTGTTTATTTTATTTCTAGACAACATAATATCAATGTTTTAATATCAATATTTTAATAAAAAATGATTTTCACTCACTACAAATTAAAAATAAATGGTAATTCTAAATATTTATTATTTTCCATTTATTAATACAGTTATGACAGTTGAAAGAAATGTTCTTAGACCTTTATTCATTTTTTTTCAGCTTAGTCTGTTTATTAATCTGAGGTATAAACAAATATGTATATTTTACTAACCTTGTAAATCCAGACAAGCTGAAAACTGCATGTGTTTTTATATTCCTCATACAACTCATAAATGCATATTTATTGTATTAAAATGCATCCATTTGATCCTGACACATTCCTACATTTTGCAATGAGACTAAATCAAGGCATTAAAGTAAATAAATATTGTCCAAAGCCGTCTGAAGGTAAAAGTCAATGTCAGGCGGACACAAGATCCTCCAGATGCAACAGCTTCATGGTGGTAGACATATTAGTTAGTTGCATTCACACATTCAGACTTTAGTGTTCAGTAAGACAGTGAAGCAGGGTTTAAATACACGGCGAATACAGATTAATAATAATAATAATAATAATAATAATAATAATAATAATAATAGTGTGTCGCTGTTATGCGTTATGAGATGATATTGTTGAATATAGTGTGTGAAATCACATGACTACATATCAACATCAGCTCTATGTCATTGACTGTCAGCAGTGTTGTAGTCTGATTGCTGATTGACCAGTTTAGAGTTTAACAACACTTTTCTGAGGTTATATTAAGGTGAAAGTGCGCATTAGTTAAGGGTAATCAGAGTAAACTGCAGCATAATTAGGGTTAATTTGACTGAACTCGGCTGTTGTTAAGGTTTCATACCTGATCGGTTGTTGGGTCATTCTGTAGTTTGGATTGTAGTTGGGTTGTAGATTGGTCAGAGGTGTACAGAGGAGCAGGCGCTGTCAGAGCCGAACAGCGGGCTTTATACAGTCAGTCACCCCGCCCAGCAAACACACACACGCGCGCGCGCGCACATGCATGAACACGCACGCGCATATACACGCAATACTGTTTGGACTAGTGTCAGTGTTGGGGAAAGTTACTGTCGATAGTAACGCATTGCAATGCTGAGATAGGCTACTCCACAACACAGTGAGCAGTTGTGTTACTCCAACACCCATTTTAATTCAGCTGTTTATTTTATAAATGATAATTAATTGCACTAACTCGCTGTACATTGTTAAAAAAGTCATTTAAATATTAAGGTAATGCGTTTCTGTACTTATTACGCGTTACTTATTATGCATTAATCCCAACACCGTGTGTGTGTGTCTACTTGTTGAATGCACATATAGGACTCATAGGGGCTTGTGTCACCGTGTATGAGTGTGTGCGAATGAGTGTGTATGGGTGTTTCCCAGTACTGGATTGAGGCTGGAAGGGCATCCACTGTGTAAAACATTTGCTGGAATAGTTGGCAGTTCATTCTGCTGTGGCAACCCCTGATAAAGAAATGTGACAATGATATTTAATAATAAGTTAAAATTTAAATAAAATAATAAAATAATAAAATAAATATCATATATATATAATGCCTTTAAACTTATACTACTGTTGTAAAACATTAAAGGAACAGCACACATAAAATATCTGAGCCAAGCAGAGATACATCTTTAAAACTGTTATAGAAATAAAAGTATATATGCTCAAAAATATAATTAATCTATATTACCGGCCATTAAATACTAGTCAAAAATGTAATAAAATATATATATTTACTAATTTACATTTAATAAGTACATTTGTAGTTTGCTGAACATAGAAATATCAATAAATAATTGAATGTGAGTTCTGGCAAGGTAATTTTACCAATTGCAACACAGTTATAACTGGGCTTAAAACAACAATAAATTTAAGCTAAAAAGAAAAGAATAATAAAAAGTGTACAGTCACTACTTTAACTTGATTTTCACTTTTCTAAATATTGACCGAACACATTTATTTACTTTAATCAAATTGACCTTTTATCTGAATATCATTAGATATTATATCTTGTTAATTAGCTAAATTATAATTCACAACAACTGGAACAAGTCTGACACATTTAATAAAACAATCAATCATATACAAAACTGGATGTAAAACACAGCAGAAATACATTAGCCTAATACACCACTGTCTTAAATGCGCAAAATATTGACACATTAATCAATACATGGATTGTTTTTTAATAATAAAATATGTTTTAAATAGACAACTATTTTAAATAGTGGGGTATTCATTCAATTATTAAAGGATTTGTGATGCAAGAGGATGTTTTATTACCAACAAAACATGAATAAATATTTATTTGAGTATCAAAAACTGCAAACAATTTGATGAAAAATAGAAATAGAGCAGTCAATGTTTTACTGAAAACATATTTATGAGTTTATAAATACTGTATATCATAATAAAATATGTCATATTTTCATCAACAACCCTATTGAACAGTTTTTACATTTTTTGCCATTGAATATGGATTTTTAAGGACTCAAGAAAACATAATTACCAATCTGTGCAATTAATACAGTTTGTGAGTCAAATTATAAATATAAATTCAATGACAGCTGAACGCTTACAAAGACTAGCTGATCGCTTTTCTCCCTCCACACCAGACACACTGTAAACATGCCGGATTCCACACAATCCATTTGTGCTGGGACAACATGAAGGAATGAAGTTAACTTGTTAGTTTTACAAATTTAAGTGGATTGAGCAGAAAACAATTCAGTTGTCCTCAATAAAACTCAATAACTGTGTTGTTTCAGCTCAGTTTAAATAAGTACACTGTGTAAAATATCCCTAAATCAGCAGTTTTCTATGTGTTGTGATGCATGTCTTTATGTTCCCCTGTTTATTTCTGCTTGTGAATGTCATTATGGGATCTTGATCATCTTCCAGCAACGTTTATATCCTTGAACAGTGTGTGTATAGTGTGTGTTCTGCTCATGTGTAATAGTGTGCAGTGTGTGTATAGTGTGTGTTCTGCTCATGTGTAATAGTGTGCAGTGTGTGTATAGTGTGTGTTCTGCTCATGTGTATTAGTGTGCAGTGTGTGTATAGTGTGTGTTCTGCTCATGTGTAATAGTGTGCAGTGTGTGTATAGTGTGTGTTCTGTTCATGTGTAATAGTGTGCAGTGTGTGTATAGTGTGTGTTCTGCTCATGTGTATTAGTGTGTAGTGTGTGTATAGTGTGTGTTCTGCTCATGTGTAATAGTGTGCAGTGTGTGTATAGTGTGTGTTCTGTTCATGTGTAATAGTGTGCAGTGTGTGTATAGTGTGTGTTCTGCTCATGTGTATTAGTGTGTAGTGTGTGTATAGTGTGTGTTGGTGTTGTATATTACTCTACAGTGAGCTTGTAATAAACTGCAGCACATGTTCTGCTATTCTACACTCTTATTCCTCTACATATGATCTCTTATATTATTTCACACCACTAAAATGTCAATAAAAGTCACTTTGTTAAACTGTAGAGTTGAATTATGAGCATCAGGAGTGGACAGAGCAGAGATCAACATCACATAATGCAGTTCACCACCGCTAATAAACAGAAAACACACAGAATATGGGCCGGTGTGTGTTCAGACGGTGCGCAGCTGCTTGGAGCATCTGTTGTGTTTGTGCTTGTGTCTGAACACACACTCGTTCCGGCTGGTGTTGCATTTGGTGCAGTTGCAGCGCCGGGCCACTGGGTAGAAGAAGAGCGGGTCGATGTGGACGGGGCAGCCGGGCATCCTGGCAGAGCGGTACACCAGAGAGCGGTGCATACAGCTCTGCTGCAGCAGGAAACGCTTGCCCACAAACCCTTGCACGTTTGTGTCCTGCACATACACACACACACACACACACACACACACACACACTTAAACAGTCCGTTCATCCAAAAATGAAAATGTGCTCACTATTTACTCTACCTCAACTTGTATGAGTTTCTTTATTAAGTTTACAAAAGAAGATATTTTGAAGAATGCTGGAAACGGGTAACCAATTAACCATTGACTTCTATAGTAGGAAAAACAAATACTGTGGAAGAAGATTTAAATGTGCTCATTATTTACCTTCTCTCAAGTGGTTATAAACTTGAGTTTCTTTCTTCTGTTGAACACCAAAGAAGATATTTTGAAGAATGTTGAAAACCGGTAACCATTGACTTCCATAACAGGAAAAACAAATACTGAAAAAGTCAATGGTGACAGGTTTCTAACATTCCTCAAAATATCTACTTTAGTGTTCAACAGAAGAAAGAAAGGATTGGAGCGAGTCAAGGATGAGTTGAGGATGTCAGAATTATCATTTAGCCCCTGAACAGTCTCCTCCACTTTTTGAAAGTCTCGTTTAACTTTATTGTCGATCTTCAGCGCTTTGGTGCACAGATTCAAGCTCAGTCTCATTTTAAAGAAGACTGCAGCTTTTATTTTAAAAGTAAAAAACTTTAATAAAACAAATGATATGCGCCTTTATGTTTCTGAAAATAATAAAACATGTATATCTAATTGCATTACATAAAATATGTATCTAACAAAACATGTTTTAGCCTGAATTTGACAGAAAATCTAAGATAAATATCTGAACAAATATTCCAAATTTATAGTTGATATCTCAAAAAAAAACGAGCTTTCAGTGAGATTCAATTAGGCTGCAGTACCAGACATGACCACCAGGTGACATTCAGTTTACATTGGTGAACATAGAAGAGTGTCCTTTACATGTCTGTAAGTTTAAAGGAATATGAAGCATATTTTAAAGTAGTATGTGGAGTATGGTGGTTTTTTATTTGAATTTAGCCTCTGAAAGCATCTGAAACATGGATTGCTGTAGCAAAGTAATGCGTTACCACTCTGCAGAGTATCATTGTTGCAAATCAATAAAAATGTAATATATAAACCAATATTCAAAGAACTAACTAATGTCTTCAGCACATGTCTAACCATGATAATGTTAATAACTCATCTCTAATAGCTGATGTGTTTCCTCTTCATCATGATGACAGCACATAATATTAGACTAGATGTTCTTCAAGACACTAGTGTTCAGCTTACAGTGACATGTAAAGGCTTCACTAGGGTAATTAGGGTAAAGTTAGGGTAATTAGGCAAGTCATTGTATAACAGTGGTTTGTTCTGGAGACAATCCAACACTAATATTGCTGAAGGGGTGAATAATATTGAGCTTAACATGACTTTAACACTATTAAACACTGCTTTTATTCTAGCCCAAATAAAACTAATCAGACTTTCTCCAGAAGAACAAATATTAAAGGAAACACTGTGAACAACTCCTCAATCTGAGAAACAGCATCTGGGGAATATTTGAAGAAGAAGAATGTGTGTGAGATTCTGACCCGTGTGAAGCACATGCCGCTGCAGACGGTGGTGTTGATGGCCATGCAGTGTCCGCACTCGTGTTTCTCCACATACAGAGTATAGTTCTTCAGAGAGCAGGCCAGGAGAGCATCCTCTCCCAGCAGGAGCAGAAAACTGCACAGCAACACCCGCATCCTGACAAACAGCTTATATCGACACTGCAAAACAATTCGCAATTTTAAATCTAAGTTGAGTTGAAACAACACAATACCTTTAGCTTTTCCTGGGACAAACCTAAATTAAATTAAATTTTAAAAATTAATTTATTAAAACGATCAAGTGAACTTAATTTATTTGTGTTGAGAGAACATTTTTCCAGTGTTGTCCTCCAGGGTTCCACACAATTCCTCCATGTTGTCCCAACACAAGGAGAATGAGTTAATTGTTTTGCAAATGTAATTAAACATATTGAGTTGTCCCAAAAACAGAAGAATTCTTTAAATAAGGTTAAATACGTCATTTGAACATACAGCAAAATGTTTTTTAAAGTCTACACTAACACAAGTGAACTTACTCATTTTTACAAATGTAAGTGGATACATAAAACAATTATGATAATTGATTATTATGGAGCATAAAACAATTGAGTTGTCCTAAAAAATCTCAAGAATTGTGTTGATTCGGCTTATTTTAAACAAGCAATTTGAACAAGCAGCTAAAAACAATCTTTTTTGGGATCTACACTAACATAAGCTGAGTAAGTTATCTTAATTGTTTTGACAAATGTAAGTGGATTGAACATAAAACAATTGAGTTGTCCTCACAATAAGCTCCTCATAATTCTTTCATGTTATCCCAGCACAAATCGACTAGATTAACCTAATCATTTTTACACATCTGAGTGGATTGAACATAAAACAATTGAGTTGTCCCAAAAAAATCTCAGTTTTGTTTCAGTTTATTTTAAACAAGTAATCTGAGCAAGCAGCAAAATCTTTTGTTGAGTGTACACTGTAAAACATCTTGAGTTCTACACAATTCCTTCAGGCTGTCCCAACACAAATCAATTCAGTTACCTCAATCCTTTTACACATTTGAGTGGATTGAACAAAAAATACGTAAGTTGTCCCAAAAAAAACACAAGAATAATTTAAATAAGGTTAAATACGTCATTTAAACAAGCAGCAACTTGTTTACGTCTACACTAACACAAGTCGATTAAGTTAACTTATTAGATTTTACAAACTTAAGTGGGTTGAACATGAAACAATTAAGTTGTCCTCTAAAAATCTCAAGAGTTGTGTTCTTCCACCTCATTTTATTTAAGCAACTTGAACAAGCAGCAAAACTGTACAAAATGCAGGGTTCAACACAATTCCTTCATGCTGTCCCAACACAAAGCAATTAAGTTACCTCATTAGTTTTTACAAATTTAAGTAGATTGAACATAAAATAATTAGGTTGTCTCTCTTAACAACTAAAGTGTTATTTCAGCTCATTTTAAGTCATTCGAAAAAGCAGCGTGTATAAATATTGGGAGTATATATGTTTCTATATATATATATATATATATATATATATATATATATATATATATATATAGAGAGAGAGAGAGAGAGAGAGAGAGAGAGAGAGAGAGAGAGAGAGAGAGAGAGAGAGAGAGAGAGAGAGAGAGAAGGCTTACGTGTAATGGTCCCGTGTGCAGTGTTTGTCTGCTGGTTGTCTGTAGTCTGATCTGAGCGGCTCTGCGGCTCTTATGGAGTTTTTGAGGAGGAGTGTCTTCATGCTGATCCTCCAGACTGAACTCAACGTGACAGCAGCACCAATGGCAGCATCTCTTCATGTAACAGCAGCGCTCCTGTCTGAGATTCTGCATCGCTATTTAACACACACACATGCCTGCGAATCAAGATCAGGGGAAGACATTCATTAACGGCACACTCTTAAAAACTTGATGGAGAACGGAAAATATTAGAGATTCACAAGACAAGCTTTTTATTAATTATTGAACTAATTATTGTAAGTATCAAGGTTAAATCAGTTTTGCAGTTCTTAACTATCAATGGCTGTTAAATAAATCAAGTCAATAATTTATAAATATATTTATAAATAAATCAATAAATCAAGTCAAACACACTATATTATCGCACTATATTATTTAAAATGTTCCTATTATATGGATTATAACAAAATTATTATTTTAATTATTAAATAAAATAATTAAATAATTATATATATATATATATATATATATATATATATATATATATATATATATATATATATATATATATATATATATATTAAATTCATTAATTTTCATTTGGCTTAGTACCTTTATTCTTAAGGGGTTGCCACAGCAGAATGAACCGCCAACTATTCAAGCATATGTTTTACACAGCAGATGCCCTTCCAGCTGCAACCCAGTACTGGGAAAAAATAAATAAATAAATATATATATATATATATATATATATATATATATATATATATATATATATATATATATATATATATATATATATATATATATATATATATAAAACACTTTAACAATAAAACAACTCGCTTATAACCTGATATGAATTGTTTATTAGCTCTTATAAAACTCACACTACCTTACTAAATATAATAATTAGTAGTTTATTAAGCTAAAATTCTTGATTAATTGTTTGACAGCATGACTTGTAAATTAAAATAAAGTGACTATATATAGTTTCATTGATTTGCTTTGGCTGCACCATCATTCAAAAGCAATTTCTGATTTTCACAACTTTATTTTCATAACTTTTTGATTGTTAATGACTTTTTGGTTTGTTTCAGTAGAAGGGTTTATATATATTTATATATAGTGTATGCAGTATATATGGGGTTTATATGTTGCAGTAATTGATTTGTTTACAGGATTGAAACCAATTATTGTCATATATAATACTCATATTGTCATACATATTATGCTAAAATCAATAGTGAAATTGGGCGGCATGGTGGCACAGTGGGTAGCATATTTACCTTTCAACAAGAATGTTGCTGGTTTGAGCCTCAGCTGGGTCAGTTCTGTGTGGAGTTTGCATGTTCTCCCCGTGTTCGCATGGGTTTCGTCCGGGTGCTTCGGTTTCCCTCACAAGTGTTTCATAGCGGTGGGTTGCAGCTGGAAGGGCATCCGCTGTGTAAAACAAATGCTGGTTAAGTTGGTGGTTCATTCCGCTGTGGCGACCCCAGTTTAATAAAGGGACCAAGCTAAAAAGAAAATGAATGAATGAATATTTAAATTGTTGTATTCTAAGTGAACATATTATTCAGCCTATTCTGAACCAACCATTTTCAACACACACACACACACACACACACACACACACACACACGCACGCACACACACACACACACACACACACACACACACACACATAAAATGACAACTTTCTTTAAGAAATTGTTAATAAATTCCACAAACCATAAGGATAAACAGCTAAACTAGCAAGTGAAGGGTTTAATGAAATATTTGCTTGTTAAACATGTTTTATTGGGTTACAACAACCCAGCATTTTCATTTATATGTTGGTGTGTGGCTCATATCAAGTTGCCTTCAGCACTGCACTGCATAACTGTGATAACATTGGGTTATGCTTTTGGTGTTAAACTTGAATTACATTTGAAACCCAACTGTTGGCTTTGACCAAATTTATTGCACTATAAAATATGCCTCAATATAAGCCACCGCCAAAATATCCAAGTTAAATTCGGTATGAACAACTGTTAGGATCGCATTTTATATAGAATAGATAGCATTTTATAGCTATGGTTGCGATGGGTGCGCTGGTTGTGATGAATGTCCCAGATAAATGAATGTGTGTGTGGGAAAAGCAGCGATGTTTCACGTGTTCTGCGGTTCACCTGGACGCTGTTTTTGCGTGTTTAATCCCCGGTAAAGCTCGTCTGCCCGCCGCAGGGACATCAACATGTGCTGCCGCCGCCGCCATATAATGTAACCACACACACACACACACACACACACACACAAACACACACACACACACACACACACACAGCCCGCCAATCATACCACTTACATCAGCCTTACAGCAATACACAGTGGACATTTACTATATTTATTAAGCATTTGTTTACATTTTAATTCATTAATATTTTCCCCAAATTTCTGTTTAACGGAGAGATATTTTCACCTCATTTAATAACCGATTTTTCTGATTTTCTCCATGATGACAGCACATAATATTAGACTAGATGTTCTTCAAGACACTAGTGTTCAGCTTACAGTGACATGTAAAGGCTTCACTAGGGTAATCAGGGTAAAGTTAGGGTAATTAGGCAAGTCATTGTATAACAGTGGTTTGTTCTGGAGACAATCCAACACTAATATTGCTGAAGGGGTGAATAATATTGAGCTTAACATGACTTTAACGCTATTAAACACTGCTTTTATTCTAGCCAAGTCAATGTTTATTTATAAAGCACTTAAAAAAAACAACAAGTGCTAAAACGGATTATAAGCCACAGAGTAAAAGTGGGTTTTAAGGCTAGATTTTAAAACCTGCCTAATATGGAGAGGCAATTTATTCCAGAGTTTAGGGTCAACCCCTGCAAAGGCACAGTCCCCTCTGGTTTTTAACCTTGTGCGTGAAACAGCCAAAAGTAGAAGATCAGCTCATCTAAATACCCTTCATGGAGTGTACAATCGAATTAATGCTGACAGGTTTGATGCCAGTCCATTTAAACACCAAATCTTAAAATGTATCCTAAACTGAGCTGAAATAAAACAAATAAGACTTTCTCCAGTAGACAAAACTATTCAAGCAAATACTGTGAAACATTCCTATAATAAACACATCATTAGAGAAATATTTGAACACAAAAAAAGATTGACAAGATTTAAAATTAAACTTGATTAAAATAAATTAGACTATATATATATATATATATATATATATATATATATATATATATATATATATATATATATATATATATATATATATAGTCTAATTTATATGTAAATAGTCTAATATATATGATACATAATTTATATGTATATAGTCTAATATATATATGATGTATACAATATGATGTATTGACGTTTATATATATATATATATATATATATATATATATATATATATATATATATATATATATATATATATATATATAAATATATAAACGTCAATACATCATACTACATACGCTAAACTATCAAATAAATATAAAATTACTGAAGTAGAATACTGTTGTAGTTTTTCCACTTTAAAATGTTTCATTTAATTGATAAAATACTGCATTAATGTGCTTGTTTTATTCAAAACTCAAAATACTATAATATGATTACAATATTATAAATAATAATAATAACAACAACAACAACATTTATTTTTAACATTCAAATTAATTCCTTAAAGCAACAACTGTGTGTTACACTTTTGTTTTTCTATTCGTATATTAAATATTAGTTGTGCTATCAGGCCAGTAGCCAGCCTGGGGAAAGAGGTGGTTCTTTTTGCTGTTATTAGCCTCATTTGCTATTTAATTATGAGGTTTGAATACTGTGTTTTGCTGTATAAACTTATCAGATGGTCTTAAACCACATTTTTTGATGTGACAAAAACATTTCATAAAGATTTAAAAGAAAAATAAGAGAGTATTAGTTTTTCCAAAAAAAAAAAAAAAGTATTACATTATATAAGCTCAGACAAAATAAATCTCAAATTAAAAACTAGCCTATTGTCATTTAGGCAAACACAAACTGGCCAGCACATTCAACTTCCCTCAGTCATGCTGAAGCAACGGCCAAAAGAGACTCCGCTTGCTCTCACAGCCTTCTTCCCTGGTTATTTCACAGTTTATTATGGTATAGCAGTCAAAATAGGACAAATGAGCTTGTGTATGGGACAAACTCTGTCAGCACCTTTGTCAGTGAGAGGTGGGTCTTTCGAACCCCCCGATGAACACACCCTGGCTACAGTCCTGGCTATTATATAAAGTTTAAATGTCTGTGTTTCATACAGTGAAAATGTCTTAAATGTTTTAAAATATAAGTGTATAGTCCACAAAGAAAGTCCTCAAATGAACTACTGAACTCCCAGTCTCCTGATATTAGATCTGTACATGTTTTCCTTGCATAATTCAGCATGACACCTGAAAGAAAACATGTTCAATGTAGACGGTCAGTGATCGTCTCATACAGCAAACCATCATTTGGGTCAGACAGAGGTGAAATGTGATGATTAACAGACAGAAATACAAACTGAAAGCATGTAAGCGTACTTTATCTGGCTTGTTTTATGGAAAATCTCTCTTCATTTTGACTCATTTCTGAAAACAAGACTATATTTTGTGCTTGTCTAGAAAAAGCTTCTTGATTTAAGAATTTGTAGATATTTAGACTAGAATCAAGACAAAAGCTCCAGGTAATAAGCGCATTGTTTAAGGTGTGTGAGCATAAAGCCTGCGCTTGACCAGAGCGTTGACTGTAACTGAATCAGTCTATGTTTAGTGCTCTCAAAGCCTCAATAATCACAGTGTGGGGATGAGCCAGAGTTTATATAATTAGGATGATATCTGAGCACTTTATAGCTGAAGATTGCCAGCAGGACAATCTACGGTTGTGCAATCAGTTATATTCACAGTCTCTCACGTTGAGCCAGAAACATGGACCTGAATTCTGCAGGACAACGTGATAAACTGGGTCACGGAGATACCTGAGCCCTCCTTATTTTTTTAGGAAGGCATAATCTGAAGAGCGGAGCACATGTGAGAGGTCAAAGGTGCACTGGAAACATGATCTGTTTCCGTATTTTAAGAGTTTTGGGTTTATTTGCTGTTGTGAGTTGGCGTAAGCTGAACAACTGTGATCTTGAATTCCTTTAGGGGGCGCTGCATCAAGAGTCCTCATTCATCTATAAGCCAGATCAGCACATCAGGACTACTGCGGTAAACTGTTGTCTATTACCACAATGCAGAGTTACACCCACACATGCCAGTTAAATCTGTACTGTGCCGAAAGGAAGCCCTATGTTAACAGTGTCCATAAGCGCCGTCAACTTCTCTGGGCTCGGAGGCATCTGGAATGGAGCATCACACCGTGGAAACACGTACTGTGCTCAGATGAAGCAGGGTTTCAGGTATTTTTGGGAAAAATGGTTGAAGAAATCCTGGCCCAGCTCTGGCCCACACAATCAGCTTTTGCTTGGCCCACATGCTGCAGTGAATTACGGTACATGATTGAAACAAGTCTGGCTTCCAAACATGGACCATATCTGGGCCAAGTCTCAGCCAGGTTAACTGGGCCTGATATGTTGGCGGTTCACGACTGCAATGGCTTTGCTAAACTTATGAAGCATTGAGCTTCATGGCAACACTTTTTCTTGAAGTGACTCGATTGGTAAAAATATTTCGTTACTCAAAAATAAATGCATTTTAAAAGTGGCCAGCACCCAACGTCAGGCAGACGACGTCAACGTCCAACCTAAAACCAACCAAATATCAACGTCTAATGATGTCACAGCTTGATGTTGTGTGGACGTTACCACTGTGACGTCTATCAGATGTTGGATTTTGGTTGCCATACCTGATGAATAAATGTCAGTATTTGATGTTTTATCAGTATCATGACTAACACAACCTAAAATAAACCAAATATCAACATCGTTTGACCTCATTATTGGCCATCAGAATAACACTGTTACGTTTACACACATGCTCAAATGAGATGTTATGCAGCAGCTTTATACAGCGCAATACTCAATACTCCTGAGTCCTTTTGAAAGGGTCAGCTTTTTACTCATACTTTAACTCCGCACTACATTATTAATGGTACTTTTACATGATTTTACAGTGCTCTTTCCACCACTGCCACTGAACAATAAACACAAACATGACACATTCATTTGAGAGCGGTTTAATCTAGTTAATTGGCTGTCACAGACAACAGTTCAATATGCAGTTTAGCACCATCATGCAAACATTTTTAACATGTAAACAGTGTATCCTGAGCAGTTCAGAATGTGCATAAAGAGATGCTGTTTACATCCCTGAAGAAGAGAAAACACACACACAGCACTCAACACACAATCACACACACTGATAACAGCATTGTCTAAATAAGGCAACACAACAGCTCTCTTTGGTATTAAATGAGTCTTAATCTTCCTCCCAAAATACTGTGCAAAATTAGATTAACGCTGGAAGGACACAGACACCGGATGTAAGTCAGTTTATTGAATAATTGGCAAATGATAAACAATGCACAAGGGAGAGGAAACTGGAGGAAACACAGACGGACGAACTCTGGGATATCAACGACAACCAGAAGAGGGACCAGGAGAAAGCAGGTGAGGAGAGTGTTGTCCTTCATGTAGCAGCGTGCTGGGTTTAAAGGGGCTGAAGTGATGACTGGGGATGACGTGCAGATGCAGGGCTGATCTGGAAGCAGGTGACTGGGGAGAACCTGGCCTGGCTGTTACAGCGGGTGTGTGTGTGTGTGTGTGTGTGTGTGCATGTAAAGTAGTATTCTGCTCTAGTCTATTCCCTCATTGGTTTTTCCTCATGGGACTGTATTTTAAAGTCATCAGCAGCAGAGGGCAGTCTTTTCCCTATAAACTGTCCCATTTTTAAAGTCTTCGTGTTTAATTTGGAAATCCTATTTCTAAGCTCAGCTACTCATACATTTATATATAAAAATATTCATATTTATATGTGTGAGTGTGTGTGTGTGTGTCTTACCTACTGCTTTTATGCCAGTCAAATCATTTTAATAACTCCAACATTAATAATTGGCATTTAGTTTTATGATGAAGACAAATAAATAAAACACAAATACAGTAAATCATTATATACATCTATTATGTTTGTGTTTAAGTGTATATATAGGGCAGCAGGTTAGCTCTTTAAGGTACACTCCTTCAAAACAATAGTTTTGGCATTGAATAATATACTGACACAACTCCGATAAATAGTAATAAATGAATAAAATAATTATGATAACCTATGGATAAAAGGTCGACCAGGTGGTTTTGAGTGTTAGCACTGTGGCCTCACAGTAGGACGGTCACTGGTTTGAGTCTCGGCTGGGTCAGTTGGTGTTTCTGAGTTTGCATGTTCTCCCCGTGTTGGTGTGGGTTTCCTCCGGGTGCTCCGGTTTCCCCCACAGTCCAAACACATGCGCTATAGGGGAACTGATCAACTACACTGCCTGTAGTGTATGAGTGTGTGTGTGTGAGTGTGTGTGTTTAAAACATATGCTGGAATAGTTAGCGGTTCATTCCGCTGTGGCCGAAGGAAAATAAATGTATATACATGTATAAATTTAATTTGATAAACTACTACATTCTTATCCAAACTTTCATCAAGACCCTTACACCCACATCTGATATATCACAATATATGCAAATCAGTAAATATAAAATCTTACATGCAAAATATATTCCAAACGAATGCAAAAATAGCCATTTACATAGTCTTTTCAACCACGAGAATTACAAATATGTACATTATGTTCAAATGTTAACTATAATTATACATGTGGGGGAGAGCGGGACACAAAGCAACACTTTTTGGGTTTTTTGCCCAAATAATGAAGGCTTAGAAAATACATTTGTTTTTTACCAACAACACACAAACCTCTCCTACTAATGAGCACTGGTTGCATGATCGCCGGACCTGTGGTTTCTGCGCAGTATTGCCAAAAATGCCAGGAGTATAAATGCTACTATTTACCCCACCTGTGGTGCAAGCCATAACAGACAGAGTGTAGCACATGCTTAAGGCAGATTTCACACAATTGATTTAAATCCAGGTCACGTTAAATAGTATATTTCCTCCTTTTTTTTAGTCTAGATAGCACAGCATGTTTATTTATTTATTTTATCTACTGGTTCAGGGGTGGCCAACCCTGTTCCTGGAGAGCCACCTTCCTGCAGATTTCAGCTGCTACCCATATCAACACACCTGAACCCATTAATTAGGACCGGAACTCTACGTGATCATTACAGGCAGGTGTGTTTGATATGGGTTGCTACTGAAATCTGCAGGAAGGTGGCTCTCCAGGAACAGGGTTGGCCACCTCTGTACTGGATAAACACATTTGGATTTATTTGCATTATTATACAATGCATATATTTGAAGTATTAGCAATAAAATATATATAAAAGTATTTGTTTATTAAAAAACAATTTAAAAAGTTTTTAACATTGCACTTAATATTCAATAGCTATTTTATTTATAGTTGGTGTCCAACGGTGTTTGGCTTAATTGTAACACCCTGTTACAGCTAACCCCGCTGTGTCGTGTTTTCCTCAAAACTGGTTGGCAGTCACTGTGTGCTTTTTACACATATATTGAACATATTTTCACAGATTTTTTTTTTTTTATCAAAAATATTGACTATAAAATACTTCTATGCAGCAAAAATAGTTTCTCATCCGAACTTCGCCAAACTTTTTCATTAAGTGGCAGGAAGACGTCTGCAGACACTGTGGTAAAAACTTTGGAAGCAAGTCATGATTAACCCTGAGTAAATACCTTGAAACTGTTACATTTTACCCCGGTTTTCCTCGTGGCCTGTGCTCCCCTGTGTGTGTGTATTGGTAGGATAAAAACAAAATGCAACTGCAAATGGTGTATTCCATAGCATATATTATATTCCATATATTAATCTCACAACAGCCCTGTTTTCATGAGGTATTGTTAAAAAAAACTTGCAAAAAGTACAAAAATAATAATAATAATCCTCACACAGATTACTGAATTTGTGTATTTTAAAGACTTAAGGCTTGCTAACTTACAACAGGCACTTCATTTGCACCACAAATGCTTTCTTACTTACAGTTTGTCTCTTGTTTCTAGTCCAAATATCTCAAAATTCTTAAATCGAGAAGCATTTAATAGTCAAGCACAGAATATAGTGTTGTTTTCAGAAAAATAATGAGTCAAAATGAAGAGAATTTGTCCTTAAAGCAAGCAAAATAATCTGACAATGGAGGAACAAGCGACATAATCTTAATCTAAAGTGAAAACAAGATTATTTTACGCCATTTTCTGATTATTTTGCTTGTTTTAGGGAAAAACTCACTTAAATTTGACTCATTATTTCTGAAAAAAGCAGTATATTTTGTGCTCGTCTAGAAAATGCATCTTGATGCAAGAATTCTTAGATATTTAAACCATTCTTACTTAGAGTTTGTGTCTTGTTTCAAGTCCAAATATCTCAAATTTCTGAAACCGGGAAGCACTTTCTAGACGAATACAAAAATATAGTGTTGTTTTCAGAAATAATGAGTCAAAATGAAGAGAGTTCGTCCTTAAAACAAGCAGAATAATGCTGTAAGAAGAATCATAACTCAAAATAAAAACAAGATCGTTTCTTCCTCCATTGTCAGATTATTTTGCTTGTTTTAAGGAGAAACTCTCTTCATTTTAACTCATTATTTCTGAAAATAAAACCAGATATTTTGTGCTTGTCAAGAAAACGCTTCTTGATGTAAGAAATCTTACATATTTAAACCATAAACAAGACCAAAAACTCACTTTTTCCTGCAATATTTCAGATGGTCTTGTCTTCTTTAACAGTCCAGACCTGTATCCTGCTAATAATCACCCACTCAGGTTGAGCAGCGGTGACTCTGATGCGTAAACACACCACAGCGTCCGGCAGCAGCTTCTGAACCCCCTCTTCATTAAACTGACCGTGCTGAAGAGAACCCAGCGTCTTAAACCCAGAGCAATCCACCGCAGGCTCTCCTGTCACCAAAACCCTCCCCAACTCCACATCAGCAGACGCCAGCTCGTCTTTCCCATCCGATCCAGTGTGTATCTGCACTCGAGAGATGCGCACCGCCTCCCGAAACACCACCAAGAAGAAGCTTTCAGTCCCGATCGGGGAAACACCCCAGAAGTACTCCACATCCTGACTGTACGCTTTCTCCGGGACGTAAGTCTGAAATACCTGAATGTTAGTTCTGACATCCGCTGGAGGATTGTCAGCAAGCTCCTGAACAAAGTCCTCATCTTTTAAGCGATTGTACGTTCCCCGAAATGACGAATACGTTCCCATGTGTTGGAACAAAGACGGCCGGAAGCGGATGACTTTATCCTGCATTAGCAATCTGCGGAAATGCGACAGCAGAAAGTCGCAGGGCATCTCCTGGTAGAAGTTGTACAGGAATCGAGCCAGAGTGGGCAGATCTTTGGATTGGTAGAGTTTCCCGATGTAGCCCAGTTTGGAAAACTCCAACGTCACCCATTTGGAGTCCGTCATGGAGCGAATGTGTTGCTGAATGCTTGACAGAAAGTTTCTGGAGCATCCCACGTCATCCTCCAGCATGATGTAGTACTGCGAGAGGTTGCTGCTGAAGTGTAGCAAGAACGAATAATCCACGTTTTGTTTGGAGCGGAAGGATACGCGGTCTGGAGCGTCATTAAAATTCCTCTTTAATCCGGTCAGCGGAGGATAATGCTCTTTATTTGCGTGGATGACCAGCAGACGGCCTTTAGAGAGCTGAACGGCGAATTCTCGGCTGATCTTGTCCGCGGTTTGCTGGATCCAGGGTAAGTCAAAGTCTGCAAGGAGAACCACCACCACCATCTGATCCAGCTCTTCCTCTGAGGACTCGGAGAAGATGGATTGCAGGGTGTCATGGAGGTAAAACCCCTTCTCTCTTCTCACCGACGACAAGCCCACCGTGAGGTACTCTGAATAAACATATCACACACACAGAGGGATTATGGGATACTTGTTTCGCTTAATAATACAGTAGTGCCTCTTAAGTAAAGTCATGGCTTGAACATCTCATTTGCATTTAAAGCGACAGTCACCAAAACACCACGATCAGGATCAAAGCCTGAAAGGGTCAGTTTCAGAGAGGAGGAGGACATCATCTGTGTGCTGTTCTCAGCTCACACACACACACACACACACACACACACACACACACACACACACACACACACACACACACACACACACACACACACACTGTAGACACACCATAGATGCATGCTGCAGATATGGGCAGAATAGGTCTGCCTTAATATTTCCCCCTGAATACTGAACACAGTTAAACTCATTTGAGTGTGTTAAGTTTGTTGAATGTAAACTATTCTGCTCTTTTCTCTCATTGAATCATTGGACTGTATTGTAAAGTCATCAGCTCCAGAGGGCAGTGTTTTCTCTAAAATAATAAAGGCTTGCTGTTTAACTCTTGAATCATATTTTAATTTGTTTGTTTTTTGTATGTTTTCCTCAATAACAGTAGTTTGCATTTAATGAATATGTTGTCTGTATGATTATCCTTTAAAATGTGGTTTATTGTTGTGATTGAAAGCTAAATTTCCACAGCTCCAAAAACTATCTACGTTTTACAAATTTAATTCAAAGATTAATGATAAAAAATTGTGAAAATTTAAGATTGATTTGGCAAATAGATATATTAGGTGATATAGATATAGATACCTGGGATAGAATTCTTTCTCACAGTGGAAAATATATAAAAGAAGCAAGAGGTAAATTTATACAGTATAAGATCCTTCATAGGTACTATTACACTCCAGTGCGACTTTTCAGAATGGGATGCTTAGACGATAATAAATGCTGGAAATGTAAACAGGAGATTGGTACTTACTTTCATGCATTATGGCAATGTACAAAGATTCAGCCCTTTTGGGAATCTGTGTTAAGACAATGAGGTAGATGTTTGGGATTTAGTATCCCTCTCTCAGCCAGAATATGCCTTTTAGATGACAAAACTGAGGTTCCACAGGTTACAAATGATGAGTTCACCCCTATAACCTTGGGCATTACTACAGCAGCACGTATTATACTGAGGTTTTGGAAGGATACTCAATGCCCTACACTTAAATTATGAATGGAATCTATGATTGAGAATGTATCACAAAATTAATGGTGATTACAAGGAAATAGATATGTGAGAGATTTTCATTTCCTTGCTTAAAATGTCAATGTATATATCCTGTTATGCTCTGTACTATTTTTTTGAGCATTTTTATACTTTTGCTACTGGTTGTTGAATTATTTATTTATTTATTTTCTATATCGATCAACACATTTATGAATTGTGAAGCACCTGTATACATTTGATATATTCGTATGGTATTGTATGTTATTTCAAGAAATAATAAAAAATCTCATTTCCAAAAGCAACATTTCCTGCATCTTTACTTCATTCTGAGGTGTCAAATGAATAACCCCTTAAACATATATGATTGTTATTAAATTAGTTGAAAACTATTGTTCAGTATTTCTCCTAATATTTGTCAAGTCTAATTTTTTATTTGGGCTAGAATAAAAGCAGTTTTTAATAGTGTTAAAGTCATGTTAAGCTCAATAATATTCACCCCTTGGATGTTGGATTGTGTCCAGAACAAACCACTGTTATACAATGACTTGCCTAATTACCCTAACTTTACCCTAATTACCCTAGTGAAGCCTTTACATGTCACTGTAAGCTGAACACTAGTGTCTTGAAGAATATCTAGTCTAATATTATGTGCTGTCATCATGATGAAGAGGAAACACATCAGCTATTAGAGATGAGTTATTAACACTGTTATAATTAGAGATGACCTCTCTGTTAAACAGAAAATTAGACCAGAGGCATCATTGTGGAACAAAATATTTCTCAGCTTTTATTCAGATTTGAACAAAAACTTTAATTTGCCAGGGGTGTAAATAATTCCGTGCTTGTCCAGGATACAGTGTACAGTATGTTCTGAGGTAATCTGCTCCAGTTACAGTAGGCACTTCTACTGGTAAACAAAACTTACAGGTTTTGCAAGCCAAGATTGATCCTTAAAAGACAAGCCCTCAAGAAAGACGGCATGACAGGAACTTTGTTTTTCTAAGAACTGAGACTTAAATAAAGCACAAACATAAATCATCATTTCAAAACACTTGCAGATGATTCATGTGGACAGAAGCACTAATAATACACACAGCCCAGCACAGCACTGAAATATAGAGATTATTTTGACTACATCTGATACAAATCACATTCAAACGCAATTCCAGGGGCAGCATGGTGGCTCAGTGGTTAGCACTGTGGCCTCACAGCAAGAAGGTCACTGTTTTGAGTCCTGGCTGGGCTAGTTGGCATTTCTGTGTGGAGTTCATCCAGAGTTGGCGTGGGTTTCCTCCGGGTGCTCCGGTTTCCCCCACAGTCCAAACACATGCGCTATAGGGGAACTGATCAACTACACTGGCCGTAGTGTAAGAGTGTGTGCATGAATGAGTGTGTATGGGTGTTTCCCAGTGATGGGTTGCAGCTAGAAGGGCATTTGCTGTGTAAAACATATGCTGGAATAGTTGGCGGTTCATTCCGCTGTGGCAAGCCCTGATTAATAAAGGTACTAAGCCGAAAAGAAAATGAATGAATGAATGAATGAATGAGTGTGTGAATGAGTGTGTATGGGTGTTTCCCAGTGATGGGTTGCAGTTGGAAGGGCATTTGCGCTATGAAACATATGCTGGAATAGTTGGCGGTTCATTCCACTGTGGCGACCCCTGATTAATAAAGTGATAAAGCCGTAAAGAAAATGAATGCATGGATTGAGTGAATGAGTGTGTAGGGGTGTTTCCCAGTGATGGGTTGCAGTTGGACGGGCATTCGATGCGTTAAACATATGCTGGAATAGTTGGCGGTTGATTCCGCTGTGGCGACCCCTGATTAATAAAGGGACAAAACCGGAAAGAAAATGAATGAATGAATGTATGAGAGTGTGAATGAGTGTGTATGGGCATTTCCCAGTGATGGGTTGCAGCTAGAAGGGCACTCCCTTTGTAAAACATATGCTGGATAAGTTGGCGGTTCATTCCGCTGTGGCGACCTCTGATTAATAAAGAAACTCAGCTGAAAAGAAAATGAATGAATGGAGTGTGTGAATAAGTGTGTATGGGCGTTTCCCAGTGATGGGTTGCAGCTAGAAGGACATCGGCTGCATAAAACATATGCTGGAATAGTTGGCGGTTCATTCCGCTGTGGCGACCTCTAATAAATAAAGGACTAAGCTGAAGGAAATTGAATGAAGTGCAATTCCTCGAGTAATCTTGCTTCTCCTGCTGATCAATATCAGTATGGATATTGTGTGCTGGTGGTAAAGAAGTCAACTCACTCTTGGACGGCTGTAAAACTCCTCCCAGGACATTAATGGAGATGTTGAAATGCAGGTAATGGCTTTTAATACCCTCCATCCAAGATTCACGATCCCAGGTCCAGATCACTGACCCCTGTGGAGAGAGATAAACACATAATTACTGTGTATACATCTTATTATGCAGTGTTTTCAAGCTGACAAGCATTTAGACGACAGGAAACTTCACAAACACTGTGTACATTGAGCTTTGTCAGGAAATTGAGCTGATTGTGGAGCTTGCAGTGTGCCACAGTTTGACATGAAACAAGCAGAAGTCTTAAGACCAGAAACAATGAATAGTGTGTAAAATGCCATTCTGCCACCGCTAACTCATCTCAAACCTGTTTAACAAACTCTCCGTCTTCTGTCAAACCAAATTAAAGATAATAGTCGATGCTGTCAGTGTGGTTGTCAACATCACTCATCTGTTTCACAAGACAAAGAAAAGATCAAGATAAAGGAGAGTAATCATGATAAGATTTCTATAGTTACTGAAGGCCACTTAGAAAAAAAAGTGCCTCCACATACACTCCTTACTGTTTTTAAATGGGTTTGGCCCAATTTGCACAATCAGTTTACACAGGTTTAAAACTTTTAGTACTTCATCTAAAGTGCACTTCTTTCAAACCTTTCAGACATTTAAACATCACAAAATCTGCTTTTCACTACACAGAATAAGTGTTTCATCTAAACCAGTGGTAGGGAACGGTCAGCTCGCGATCCACATGTGGCTCTTTGACCAGTAACACCCCCCTAGTAGCAAAGAATCCTGGCCCAGATTTGGCATAAAGCTGGCACAGCAGGCATTCATCCGGCACTGGCATACGGCATGTGGGCCAAACATGGCCCGGGTTTGGCAGTGGTGGCACCGTTTTTAAGGCGGCACACAAGATTTGGCCCAGATTTAAAAATTTGATAAGTGGGCCATGTGAGTTTGGCCAGTCTTGACCCACATTTAAAACACACTAAAATCATTTTTGAGTAAAGAAAAAAAATTCTACCAATCAGGTCCCTTTGAGAAAAAGCGTGCCCATAGTGTGCCTAAAGCGCATCACTCCATGGGTTTATCAATTTCATTGCAATCGTGACACACCAACCTATCTGGCCCAGTTCAGGCCCAGTTATGAGTTATTAACTTGGCTGAGACTTGGCCCAGATATGGTCCGTGTTTGGCCCTTGTCTGGTAGCCAGATTTGGTCCAGTCATGTACCGTAATTCACTGCGGCATGTGGGCCAAGCAAAACCTGATTGTGTGGGCCAGAGCTGGGCCAGAGAAATTTTGCTATGTGGGCCGGCTCTCCAGCGCTCTCCCTGCAATACTATTTTGCGGTTGAAAAAATTAGAACCGTCACCAGAAATCCAAAAGTTTCCTAATGAAATACAATAGGGTATATGGCGAGCAAGTGCTGTTCACAGTAATCAACATTTATGGTAGATCAAAACCTTTTATCAAAGATGTCCTAAATCTGTTGATCAGCACCCATTCCTGTCTTACAGCACGACGGAGATTCAAAAATCCATATATATTAGCTGACTTTCATGCATTCAAATATATTTTGTTTGTATTTATTTTTTTATTTCATTCATTAATTTTCCTGAGCTTAGTCCCTTTATTCATCAGGGGTCCCCACAGCGTAATGAACCACCAACTATTCCAGCCAAACAAAATGTGGTGAAAATCCTACATGACGGTAATAGTGTGATTGCAGTGTTTACATGTCTGTACTGCACTTCAATAATGCCACAGAAATAGGAGTACTCCAAGTCTTAATTCACCTTCAGTTTAGTTCAATTATGACCTTAATTGGATTAAATTAAATGCAAACACAATGAAATCTTGACTCTAGCTTTGAAGAAATGACTAGTGGTATTACAAGTGTGATCAGTTTAAGGTTTTGCATTAAGAGATTTGAAATTCCACACTTTACTTATGAAAATAGCACCAAACAAAGTAAAAAAAAAAAACTATTTAAAATGAGCTAAATCAACACAATTCTCACACTTTTTGGAACAACTGAATTGTTTTATGTTCATCCATTCATTATTTTTCATCTTAGTCTCGTTATTTATCAGGGGCCGCCACAGCGGAATTAACCGCCAACTATTCCAGCATATGTTTTATACAGCGGATGTCTTTCCAGCTGCAACCCAGTACTGGGAAACACCACACCCACACACACTCATACACTACGGCCAGTGTAGTTGATCAGTTCCCCTATAGCGCATGTGTTTGGACTGTGGGGGAAACCGGAGCACCCGGAGGAAACCCACACCAACACAGGGAGAACATGCAAACTCCACATAGAAAAGCTGACTGACCCAGCCAGGGCTGGAACCAGCAACTGTGATGCCTTGTTTTATGTTCAATCCACTTAAATTAGTAAAAAGCATTAAATTAGCCATCAAGTTGTTGTGATGAAGGAACATGAAGGCATTGAGTGTCATTTTCTAGTGTATGTTGAAGTGTGCGTCGCTGCAGATAAAGTGAAGCAATAAAACAACAAACATCCCTTTCTACTCATTTTTATTCTTCAAATGGCACATTATTAGCTAAACAAGACTCATTTCTGCATGGTACTACACCACTTTACCATAGAGTATCATTTGTCAGCTAAACATTGTACAGTTTGCATCATGAATCTGCCTGCATTATGTCTTCTCCAACACAGTACACTTGTTTGGTGTGTGAAAAAAGTTGAGCATTTCTCTTTCAGCACCGCCCACCTGAAATGATGCATACAACCACAAACACTTGGTCCTATTTAACACGTTTCAGAGAATAGCTCCAGACGTTTGTCTACAACCAACACAATAATAAATGTGCAACCATACTGTAAACTGATCATGATGCTGTTCTTGCTACATCAACACTAGAGGAACGATACAGCTTTATTATTGACCTTAAAACGGCTTTAAAACAATTAAGAACTGCTTTTATTCTAGCCCAAATAAAACTAATCAGACTTTCTCCAGAAGAACAAACATTAGAGGAAACACTGTGAACAACTCCTCAATCTGAGAAACAGCATCTGGAAAATATTCAGCTTTAAACTGTTTCTTGTGGATGTGTCATCTGTAAACAATAGAACTGAAAGTGTTGTGAACTGCAGATGAAGCAACTGATGTCGGGATGTGCAGAAATGCAGGCCGTCGCGTATTTCCAGTAAGCTTTCATTAAACTCTGCTGATAAGAATTAGGTTGAAGGCCTACACACAATAGTCACATACTTGACCACAGAATGTTTCCACACGCTGAACACAATGGTTTTATTTTTGACTATATGTCAGAATGAATTCATTAATAAAGCTTTAAACTAGACTAAAACTATCCAATACAAATACATTTAAAACAAAGCGAATATTCAGTTCAATTAAATTCATCTTTATTTCTCTAGCGCTCTTACAATGTAGATTGTGTCCAAGCAGCTTCACATAGAAGATTACAGTGAAGTGAAACAGTGTCAGCTTAGTTTAGTTCAGTGTGGATTAATTTCACTGCTGAGAGTCCAAACACTGAAGAGCAAATCCTCAACAAACCTGTTTACTGTAGTAAAAACCACTTTATATGTTGAAGTACATTTTTTGCTTCCATTAAATAGTATAAATATATTAATTATATATATATATATATTTAACCTACAGGCTAATTCACATAGTTCACGGTCTAAAGTCATAATAATAAAATAGGAAATATTTTTAATACAAGACAACACACGATGTTTTTATCTCTGTCAGTGACAACGAGTATATTCGCTAAGTGCTTCTGTCACTGTGTTTAATCCTTTCTGTGCATGACAGTGGTATAGATAATGCCACATGCACTGTAATGTACTGGTCATTTTGAAATAAAAATAGTAAAATGTTTGTTAAGGGTTTAATTTTGCATCACTTCCTACACCAAATTAAAATCACTTAGCACACCTATGTTTATTGCGAATGCACGCCCTCTAGTGGTGAAAATTCTTCAATCTGTTTTTTGAGAGAACAACGTGCTGTTCAGAGCCACTCACAGGCCAGAAACTCCCATTATAATCCTCTGCTTTTACCTTGAGGTTGCCAGATTGTGCTCTCTGCATGTAGACGTAGAGGCTGGTCAGGATGGAGAGTCCAGCTGCCACCACGACCCATTTTTTCAAATGGCATCTCATCACACACCTTTATCTGTCAAAACACAACACACACATTAAACACACGGTCACGTGTAGCTCCAAACACTGCTCTTTCCCATATGTTTGATTGTGTTTAATCAGTAGCAGAGTGCTTCAATTATTCACATGACCCAGTCTGAATAATTGATGGTCGATTATGAAGCATTCAGCCGGCACATTCATCTTTTCAGTCATTTACAGCCACAGATCAGCACTTAGTAATGCAGGGGAAGGGAGGTGTAGATTAATATGTTTGGGAGCATTCATTCATTTTCTTTTTAGCTTAGTCCCTTTATTTAGCAGAGGTCGCCACAGCGGAATGAACCGCCAACTATTCCAGTATATGCATTACAAAGCAGATTCCCTTCCAGCTGCAACCCTGTACACACTCATACATTCTGGACAATTTAGTTTAGTGTTTCTCAACCACTGAGCTGAGGATCTGAATCAAGTGTGTTCCGTTAAGGAAAATGTGCAAAGCTGGTGGATCTCCAAGAACGTGGTTGAGAAACACTGATTGAGTTCATCAATTCCCCTATAGCGCATGTGTTTGGACTGTGGGGGAATCTGAAGCACTCACGCCAACATGGGGAGAACATGCAAACTATACACAGAAACACCAACTGACCCAGCCGGGACTTGAACCAGAGACCTTCCAGCTGTGAGGCAACAGTGCTAACCACTGAGCCATCTCAGAAACGCAAGAATCAAAAGTAAATGAACACCATAAAGTCTTTACCCAGGGTTTAAACAAAGCTGTTGTAGTTTATATAAAGCAGTGTTTGCTAGTCATTTCTAAATATTATTAAATAAATTCAGAAATTACCCAACTATATTTACCTTCAGCCCACTAGCCTCAATCAAGTTTGGTTTTGGTCCTTCATCAGAAAAAGTTTGGGCACCCCTGCTCTAGACTAATGCTTTGTGTTGAGATGTGTGTCAGGTGACTTACTTACCAGGCTTTCTAACCTCAGTGACAAACATAGAGTGACAAACTAAACAACAACACGGTGTTAATTATGATCGTGTTAAAGAAATGGTCAAACATCAAACAGGGATATCAGAATTACCAAGCACAAATACAAACACAGTGGCAATGAAGAGCTTTTAAAGGCGAGCTGGAGTGAGGGGATTGGCTAAAACCGGAAAAGATTTGCAGAGCTGGAACCAATCAGGATAAAGCAGTCACGGGATTGGTTGCATCAGTGTAGAGTGAAACAGCCAACCAGGAACAGCAGTAGGCGGGACAGAATGAAAGTGGAAATTGTTCACAGTGTTTCCTCTAATGTTTGTTCTTCTGGAGAAAGTCTTACATGTTTTATTTGGGCTAGAATAAAAGCAGTGTTTCTTCTCACACATTATGATATGCACGTCAGCATTTTTAAATATAGCAATATTACACTTTTACTGTGATGGTCAAGATGCAGCACGGTTATTAATGAACACAGCATTTCAGCAAGTGTTCAGAATCCATCATTAGCTGTAGGGGTGTAACAGATCACGGCTGATTCGTGATTCATATGGATCACAACCCACAGTTCAAAACACGTGACCAGCGGATTAATACATTTTACACTTGTAGATTAATCCTAACTAATGTGTGACGATCACAGAGAGATCGCCTCTCGCTTCATTCAGATCACATGTATGAAAGCGTTTAGGCTTTCCTGTCAAATATAATGATGATGAGGGAGTTGTGTTGGGTTATTGGGGATGTGGTGGGTTTCTTAGGTTATTAAAGGTCTTGTTTATCCTGCATTAATGCATTCAGTGTGAGCTGCACCATTAATCATTAAAGATCAGGATCTCAACACCCACGCAACATCAGTTATAAATGATGCTGATTTGCATATGTTTATTAATCCTCCAATCGCTGCATTCAAATCTGAAAACGCCAAAATCAGGAAAGAGATTCAGTCTTCAGTCTTTTGAGTTAGTGATGAAGTTGCACAGAGTCAAATACTGAGTATTGGGAGTAAAGACCGCGGGGACGGGGGGCTACACATGCTCATTACTGCACATGCTCACGCATTTTCAGTTCTAGTGGAATTAAAACACTTTAACACTTTAAACATGTTTGTGTTAAAATTACACACTGGTTGGGTTAAAAGCAACGCAGAATGTGATGTCCCTAACTCAACACATGAGTGTATAAGGAAATAACACATGTTGGGCTGTTTTTAACAAACCCTTTTTAAGAGTAATGTGTGATGCTGCCCAGACAACTTTTCAGGTGAAGCTGCTTTTATTATCAGTAGAAACAAGATCTTGCTGTATCATGGGTTCTCGGTATTTACACAAGCATGACAGGAGAAACGCTGGATTTTACATCAGTAAGATACACTTTAATAAAAATGAATGACAAAAAGTCAAGACGACAAATATTTTTATGTTCATTCATTCATTTTCCTTCGACTTGGTCCTTAATCATCATGGGTCGCCACAGCGGAATGAACCACCAACTATTCCAGCATATGTTTTACACAGCAAATGCCCTTCCAACTGCAACCCAGTACTGGAAAACACCCATACACACTCATTCACACACACACTCATACACTACGGTCAGTGTAGTTGATCAGTTCCCCTATAGCGCATGTGTTTGGACTGTGGGGGAAACCGGAGCACCCGGAGGAAACCCACACCAACACGGGGAGAACATGCAAACTCCACACAGAAACACCAACTGACCCAGCTGAGACTCAAACCAGCGACCTTCATGCTGTGAGGCCACAATGCTAACCACTGAGCCGCTGTGTCACCCAATCCGAAGTTTTTTTTCACGCATAATACACCCATAATTTAATTATAATAGAGAGATGGACAATGCTGAGAGGTGTAAGGAGAAAGATTTGCACCGTACTGCTATATGGAAGAACATTTATCTTGCCTGCATTTGATCTATCACTTGTTTTTAATCATGAACACGACCGTTTTTCATGTCTATATTCAGAATTTGTATTAATTGCCTTTAAAAAGTTGAGTTATGTTAACATTTGAAAACATCTATTGTTGTAAAAGACAATTGTTACACACACACACACACACACACACTCACACACACTGTGTTTGTATGATGTTTACAAGCTCACGGTGCTCTTAAACTCCAAAGGCTTTTGCATTGGGGTTTTGGAAAGATTTGCATACAGGCTACAGTGTTTGTATACGCAGACCTCTGACAGAAGAAGAAAAGGGCTGTATATTCATCATGCCAGGCCAGAGGCTGGGGGTGTCACTTAAATAAACAAATAAACAAACAAATAAACCTGCATATCTGCACGCAAACTCCTGCTGTCCAGCATAATTCTGTAACTGGCATTACTTTATACACAATAATACTGCGTGGGTCTGGCTTATATTCAGGTCATCGGCATTACAGCTCAAATTAAGGGGATTTCTCAGACTTCTATTGTTATGTGAAGCTGGACAAAGGAGAGCGGATCCAGATGCAGGTTTATTACAAGAGAATGGTCAGGCAAGCAGTCAACAGGACTAAACAGATGTGTACAGGCGATCCAGAGTCGAGGTCAATGCAGGTGAATGCTCAGTAAAGGCAGGAGTCAACGTAAACAAACAACACAGAGCGAGGGTCAACACACATCACAATGTTCACAATACAGATAAACAAGACTCAGCAAAGTGTGCGTGTTTGCGTGCTGTATATGTGGTCTGTGTAATCAGCAGCTGTGTGTGTAATCAAAGGAGAACTGGAGCAGGTGTGTGTGTGTGGTGCATGACAGGATTTGTAGTTCCCTTGTGTGGCAGATTTGTAGTTCTTCAGTGATCTGTATGGACTAGACGCTGGTGATCTGTTTGAATGATGCAATGTAATATTATTAATAATGTGAATGTGTGTATGTCCTCACTGTTTGGATTTTATTAAACTATAGTGTTTGCATCTGGGCAGCACGGTGGCTCAGTGGTTAGAACTGTGGCCTCACAGCAAGAACGTCACTGGTTCGAGTTTCAGCTTGGTCAGTTGGTGTTGCTGAGTTTGCAAGTTCTCCCCGTGTTGGCGTGGGTTTCCTCCGGGTGGTCCGGTTTCCCCCAAAGTCCAAACACATGCGCTATAGGGGAACTGATCAACTGTAGTGCTGTAGTGTATGAGTGTGAGTGTGAATGAGTGTCTATGGATGTTTCCCAGAACTGGGTTGCAGCTGGAAGGGCATCCGCTGTGTAAAACATATGCTGGAATAGTTGGCGGTTCATTCCGCTGTGGTGACCCCTGATAAATAAGGGACTAAGCTGAAGGAAAATGACTGAACTGAATGTTTGCCTCTGGTGTGATAGTGATAGTGTTGACGCCGCCATAACAGCAGTTCTGTCACTTGACAGCAGCATTTTTAGTTGTTGGAGAAGACAATACAATATAAAACTGAAAGCATCGCATTACAGGAGTCAGATTTCATTAATAAGAGAGTAAGTGGAGCTGAATGACTGTGAATGAGCTAATAAACATCTTTCTTGTTTCTTAAAAATTTGATTTTAATTAAAAAAGTTTACATAGTTGGTGTTATAAAGCACAATGTGTTGTATTGGATGGGGAAAAAGATGATCTATTAAAGGTGCAGTTCACTCCTTTACTCACTATCTACTCTGCCCGGAGTGGTTACAAACCTGAGTTTCTTTCTGCTGTTGAACACAAAAGAAGATATTTTGAAGAATGCTGAAAAACCGGTAACCATTCACTTCTATAGCATGCTGGAAAAACAACCTTGTGTAATAGAAAATAGTCACATTAAGCTTTCACTGGAGGTTTATTGTTGCTTTAAAACTCTAGCTGTGCATACAGCCTATTGCCCCATATTGAGAAATGTGCTTATTAAAAATAAGATACGGTATGGTCAGTTCTGGACAGTATGATGTAAAAATAAATACAGGAATTATTGTAAAAGTAATATATTATTATTGTAATAAACAAATACAAAAATCAACCCTAATTCTTCTGCCTTATTTAATACAATTAGGCAAAATTATGATTAAAATTGTAATATTTTTCAAATATTTCCGATG